GAGAAGCTGCTGAGGGCGGCGCTGGCGGCGCGCGGCATCCCCACGCGGTCGACGGACAAGCCGCCCGAGATGGAGGACGCGGCGGTGCGGCTGGTGCCGGACCCGGACGACCCGCGGAGCCGGCTGGCGTTTCCCACGCTGCTGCTGTACCCGGCCGCCTACGAGACGGACTTTATCAAGGAGTTTGAGGAGACGCAGTCGCTCGAGGACCACCTGGCGTACGTGTTTCCGCTGCCGTGGGACGCCGACGGCGCGTACCGCCTGCCCAACGTCTCGTGCTACGTGGAGACGAGAGACGGCGGCCTGCTCAAGATGGGCAAGAAGGCGAGCCTGCTCAAGGTGCTGAGCACGGGCAAGGTCGAGGTCGTGGATCAGGTGGTGCGCATATTCGTCTTGCCGCTGGACAAGGCCGATGAGTGGATTGCAAAGTTTAAAGAGCAAAAGGCGAGGGAAAAAAAAAAGTAGGTCGTAGATGTATTTAGATGCTTGCCATTATGAGTTTATGATTTCGGATTTGGTATGAACAGAGAGGCAGGTAATGACGCATTTTTCTTGGACCAAATATCAGATTCACACCGTCGTTGAACAAGTAGACTTGGTGAGCGAAAGAATGGAACAGTCATTAGATTCACACGGTCACTCACGAGGTTAATTTGAGCAAAATATGGTGAGTAAAGAATGAACAGTCACCAGATTCATACAATCATTCGATAGGCAAATTTGAGCAAGATATGGTCAGCAAAGAATGAACAATCATCAGATTCATTCCGTTATTAAATAGGCAGATTTCAGCAAAGTCTGGTGAGCAAAGAATGATATCCAAAAGAAACCAAAAGCTATCATGTAGGGCTAAATATGGAAGCTCTCTCTGATTGCAAGTGAGACAAATAGTCACCGCCCAAACAAGTACAAGCAGTCAGAGCTGCATATGCAAGGAAAAAAGCAAATCTATCCCTTTCCATTCCGAAAACGCCTTGGAGCACCGTCTATCCCAAATGTACATGGTCGTATATGCAACAGGTGCTCCATATCTACCCGCGTGAGCGGACATGTCCTTCACCTTGCAGTCCTACCAGTGCACTGGCAGCATGGTAGTCCTCTATCCTCCTCGAACCCTCTCTTTGCGTGCGTTTACGCGGGTTCGGCTCTCCCCTCGAGACCGGTCTAATGTCTCTGTCGCCAAGGTGGCCACTGAAATCCACAATCACCGGTGATACGTACCTTCGCTTGAGCCCGTACCCTTCGGCCACATGCAGATGCGGGCGGATGGGTGTCATGGGATACTCCCGCCCGTGCGACTCCCGCGGGTGCGAATGGCGTTGCTCCGGAGAATCTTCCCCCACGAGTATAAGCCCGTGCCGGCCATCCTCAACATACTGGTGATTCCGGAATCTATCCATGTTACCAGAGATGAGGGGCCGTTGGCTGTTCGCGGAACGGGGCGGAGTGATTGGCGACGTGGCGGCGTTTACCGCCTTCCAGGAGGAAGGAGTGCGCTGCGGGCTCGGTTGAATTAGCCTCTCACACTCCGCTCCAGGGATTCTCCTCTCGTACGAGCGTTGGTCAGGTCTGGGCTCAAGGACATGGCGGTGCTTCTGTGCAGCGGCAGGCCGAGAGATGTATGGAGAGCTCGGTTCGGGGCGTATCGAGCGCAAGGCTCGTGCCTCCCGCGCTGCCTCGTCGATAATCCGAGGATCGATCGTCATGTCCCTGTATCCAGGGCTTCCGGGCGCGCGACATTCCGATGGGAATGTTGGCCCGAAAAGTGGGATGAGAGCGGGAGCAATGGGCCAGCAAAACGTGGCGCATATGGCCCTGGCACATTTATAGGGCATCCAGTACCCTGAATTGAGACCTTCTGTCAGTAATTATGCCGAAATTACTGGAGGAGAATGACATGTTTTGGGCATACCTTGAGCCGAAACTGCTCCGCCTGTGATACTCGGTGTGATGTCTCGTAGCCCCGGGTTCTTGTCCAGCATCTGTGAAGGCTTGGTCTTTTGTGAATGAGTCAGCCTCGGAGAAAAAGGTTTGAGGTTTGTCGCTGTCACTCGAGGAAAGGAAGGTACATACTTTGGCGTAACCCAGACATTTAAAAAATGGAGTAATTCTAACCAGGCCGACATCGTAATCCCACATGACCGTAAAGTCTCCGGGTGTCTCTCCTTGGAAGTGAAACTCATACTTGAGTACTTGAAAGGGTAAGTATAGCTTCTCTCGCTCGGTCGATCAATCGAAACAAGATCATTACTCACCATCTATACTCTCGCGGCCCGTCTTGCCGAAAAAGTCCTTCTTGGAGCTGTTGTATGGAATGTGTTCGCAAGATTGCCGAATTTGTCCAAATGGTCGCACTTGAAAGTGGGCGATTTCTCGAACCATTTCCGGACTTAGACCCTCTTCAAAAGGCATAAAGTTGACAGGGCCTCTTTGCTTTCCTGGTTTCGAGGACCACTCCCGAGGGCGTACTGGGTGTCTGACGGATGCGCTGCCCGCAGCGATGCGCCCAGGCGACACCTGAAGGCAGGCCTCATCTGAGGAACTATCCGACGGCTCGGGTGTCACCGGGTTGAGTAAATCTCTGATCTGAAGCATAGTAGACATGATCCAGTCGTGCTCGTGTACTTCAAGTACAGAGACTTGGGGCAGAGAAGAGAAAATAAAATGGGATAATGAAGGCGGTGCAACGACGAAAGAAAGTCGAGGCGAGTTTTACCAGCAAGTACAACTGGTATCGACGAACATTAGCCCAATATTTAAAGGAGTGTGTCACAAAAGTCGAAGGGGGCCGCCGGTGCCTGAAGAACGATGGGTAATGCAGAGTTTACCCACTCGAACTGCGGACAGGAACAAGGTTAATAAGTGTCTTCTCGATCGCGGGCGACCCCGAAGCATACTCTTTGGCGTCGTTTTGTTTTTGGTGGTTTACCACCGCCCCGTGGTAATCACGGCGTTCCGATGACGGGAAGATGGAACAAGAGCCCCCGGTGGGTGTTTGCGCCGGCGGCTAGACACTCCGCTTTGCTTGGTCAGTATATGTTACAGACATGGGTGAATGCCCAACATACCTTTGAACCAAAATATGTCAAGACGTTTTAGCAATAATGTTGATTGTTGCTTTGCGCGGTTTAGTAATGATACTGTTGAAACGACAAGTGGGAGGGAACGGGTGGCAGCCTCGCGATCTGGGGTTCTGCTCGGGGGTTAAATATTGGGCAGCAAATACACATATGTCAACAATGGTCGCACTCGTCGTGTTGTGGCAGGCCAGTAAGAGACAGGGAGGACGTGTGCAGCCTGGGGGCCAAGTTCACTCCGTAATGCGGAGGAAGGAAAGGAACTTTGGGCTGCGAGAGCTGGAGTAACGGTGAATCAGTCCTCTACCTAGGTTCGAGGATTGGGCCACCACCGAAAAGGGTGGTACTATTAACTGATTTGGGGAAGCCGTGGCAACTGCCTAGGTAGGTAGGTATGCTGAGGAAAAAGTAAGACTGTCATTTGACAAGCCCACAGCAGCAGCCAGCAGCAGCAGCCAGCAGCAGCAGCAGCAACAACAGCAGCAACAGCAGCAGCAGCAGCAGCAACAAGACGAGATGGTGAGTGAGTGCACAGCTCGGGGGGTGGGGACGAGACGGCAGATTCTCAATTGTCATTAGCAAAGGGGTCGTCACAGCTAACTAGCAAATGACGGAAGGCAAAGGACCAAACAGGGAAACTTGGGGTCTGTTTGGACAGAGCCGTACCTGCTGCAAAGGCAGGGGGGGGGGGGGGGGGGTGAGCGCCTTGGGTGTCGAGAAGTGGCCTGGGCCGTCGTCGTCGGCAACGGGTACCCGCATACACACCCTATCAAGGCCCTATAGAAAATAAAGGATTGTTTTATATGGTTTCAAGCAACTTCGGGAGTTTCCGAATCAAAGCCAAAGGTTGATTGATTAATAAAAGAATATTGTGCGGCGTAGCGAGGGCAGTGTAAGCGCCGGTTGAGCGACGCTCCGAGCCAGGGGATCCTTCAGCTACTCTCTCATTTCAGCTGCCGTCATGTGTTTTCAGCAAGCAAGCAAGCAGGCAACGCAACGCGGCTGCCGCAAAACAACCATCATCTTGTCAGTCAGTCAGTCATTCAGTCAGGTAGCGCCCAACCTCCAACCTCCAACCTCCAACTTCCAACCTCCAACCTGTGAGTTGCGTGGCCAACCTCTGCCTGCCGGACGCCGGACAGGGCGCGCCTTGGAGTTGCTCAAGCAAGACCAGGGAACGGGGCCATGGCGTACTTGGTAGGTAGGCACAGTACGGCGTGCAAAGAGCCATTTTTTTGTGACATGTTGGTGAGGGGGCACCTATATAGTTCCATTTCGATAGTAGTATGCACACAAGTCATCCTGCTCCTGCGACGCCACCTAGGTCGTACAACAGCCGCAGCAGCCAATTGCATGCTCCAGCCATGCAAGCATGCTGGCGGCTGGAGGGGATGAGGGGTATGTTAGCTTTTGTGTGTTGCGAGGCCATAGCCTGCCCCGAGCACACAATTCTCCACCACTGACTGACAGAATGCTGTGCATCTTGTCAGAATACTCCGGGTGCGTCCTTCGATGGCCCGCGGAGGAGGGAAGGGAGGGAGAAGGGAAACACACAAGCGCGGGCTCTGAAACGTGAAGCTTAGCTTGTAGAGATCCAGATGCTCCAGATGCTCCAGATGCTTCAGAGATTCCAGATGTCGTCTCTTGTACGCTGGAGGCTGCCATACGGAAACAAACAGGCCGTTTCAGAGAGAAAGGAACAAGGCCTTGTTTATTCTCAGTGTTGCACGCGCGCGCGAGATGCCTTTTGCCGATGCTGCTATTCTTTTTCTAATTTCGTTTTCGTAAAGGAAAAAAAAAATAAAAAAGAAATTAAAAATAAAAAAAAAGCTGGCGGCGGCCGTCGCACAGGTTCTTGAACCGCATAGGCAGCAAAAGACAGCTCACTGCCACATCACCGCGTGGCAGACAAGGTCAAGAGAAACAATAATTTAAAGGCAATCGTGGCGCCATAAGGTATCTATCTTCCAGTCAGGTTGGAGGGATATGCAGGAGGGTCCGGTGACCAGCGACGACGCTGTGCTTCCTCACTTGGACAACAAGGACGCCCCTTCCCTTGCAAGTCGCGCGGCGCCGCACCGCGCCGCGCCCTCGAAACACTAACAATATGTATCGCACAGAGATGTGGCAGACTCGCCCGGATTGCGCTGATACCTAATGACTCGAGTCGAGAGAGCTGATCTGTATGGTTGCAGTTGTGGCCACGCCATACGTGTACACGTCGTGTGAGCGAGCATCTTGTCCCGGAATACCTTGACAATAGCCCCCGGATTCTGCCGTGCAACCGGCGACACTTTGTACGTGGCCGAGTGAAGACGTCTAGATGACCCCCAAGAATGACTTTGCACCGCTTTTTTGCGATGCTGTCCAACACGAGTATTACACAATGGTTTCGTCTCTGGGTGCAGAGGCGCCCCAAGGCAGACGTCGCAGTGATGCACGGCGGTATGGCGGTATGGCAGTATGGCAGTATGGCAGTATAGCAGTATGGCAGTATGGGCAAGGTTGTATTGTCATCTGCCGTGTCGCGTCCTTGGTCTGTCCATCACTGTCGGAGATTTGCAAGTGCGCGCGCGCGAGCGCCTCTCTGCTCTGTGACAGCCGGATGGTTTCATTTCACTATTGGTTCAAACAGCAGGTGTGATGATGGTGGGATATGCCAAGCGATGCAGGCCGCACGGTCAAGAGGCGACCTCAGAGCACACACGAGTGGTGTGTGATGTGATCCAGGGACCGTCGCATTGGCGGGATGCGTTAGAGGATCGCCACCGTGTCAGCAGCAGTTTGTCATGATAAATTAGCCAGACCAAGGAAAATCGGCCATCTAAGCAGTTCGTCGCATCTTTTGTTCCTACTATCCGTTCTTGCCGTAGTACTAAAACTAACTGATCCATGCCCAGCTGCTACCCTTCCGCTTGCCCGCTTGCCCGCTCGCTCGCTCCTATGCGTGCCATGGACGAGGCGGCCCATGGTCCAGACAGAGAGGCTTGCACTCTACCATCCTTGCCATGTGCCGCATGACCCTTTTTTTTCCCATCCATCTGTGCGTCGGCCAAAAAAAAAAATAAAGAAAAAAATCTCGCCCTCCATCGGGTACTGCATCTGTAAATATCCTGGCCGCCGCTATAATAAGTGCCGTGTACTACGTCGAGCGTCATGCATAACCCCTCGGCCTTGGCCATCAGCCACTCGTCCTGCTTCAGCCCATCCCGCCAGTGAGGCGTCAGTGCCTTGAAGCCCAGATATGCCCCCGCGAGTGCATCAGCAGAGCATGCGTTTGTATCTGCATCCCCGCCGAGCATAATCAAATCTGTAAATGAGCGGCTCAAATATAGCCCTTTGAGTCGGCAGCGGGGCGCCCAAATTTCCCGTTTTGCCCATTGCCAGACGCACGAGATATTTCCTGGAAGCAAAGAACGGGCTTGTACGTATTCGTACGAATATTGATAAACATGTCCAGACTCTCGCAGCTGGAATGACGTCTTCTACTTGCAAGGTCGCTGCAACTCTGTCAAGTCCAGATCCGGCTCATCTCATGCCGACCCGTGTCTTTCAGCTGCGCTCTCCGTTTATACCATGCAAACCACCACCACCACCACCACTACCACCACCACAACTGCCCACGCTGCCCTTTCAATTAGCGCATTTATATCCCTCTCTTTTTTAGACTGTGTGGAGAATTAATCCTCGACTAGTGCCGTTCCGATGGCGCGCCAGTCACCAGATGATGCATCTAGGATCTGGATGGCTAATGACGGACAAGTCGCTCGCCGTCTGAAACGTCTGCTCAAGGGACTTTTGTAGATACGTTAAGCCGACGAGTTGATTTCTCATCCAAACTACCGTTTGCAGCCGCTTTGCGGCCGAAATTAATCCAGCCTTGCCGAGAGGTCGTCTGCGAATATTCCAGAAAGCCTTTTGACCGAGTTGTAGACGCTAATACTGTATGTCCAGACCCATGGGGAAGGTTTTCAACCCTCGTAAGCCCCGGCCAACTTGAATGGACAGCCACATGGCAAAATATCTGATAAATTTTCTTGACCATTTTCGTGCAAATACGACAGTATCATCAGCGGTGCATCGTCGGTGTTGTCCATTCACTCGCCCGGTTGATGCATTCCGCCATGGGCCTCAAAAGGTAATACCCTGGCTTATGATCTCGGGGCCAGCACAAAGCATCAGGCATGATACGCTTCTACAGATACATCTACAGAGAGGAACTCGGTGTACAGACTGATGGCATCACCGAGAGCTAACCCAAACAGGCGCCCAATGTCACCGTCTCTGAGGCACGTGCCTGCATCTCACGCAATGGCTCACTCGAAATATTCTACTCTGGGACGAAATGAATGAAGATCCATATATTATGGTATGATAGACTTAAATGTTTTCGAGTTGTTTGTGGCATATATGCTCACCTATCTCTCACTCGTTGCTGCCTAATGATGGAGTGGCAGTGACATGGCAATGGCACACAAGACTTCAGTCTTGTTACCTAGCGCAGCAAAGTTAGCCAAGTTGGAAGTTGTGCATTCAAGCAAAGTAAAAACCATCTGAATGAACACGCTATGCCAGAGGATAGTTAAGCATTGAGAAAAAAATAGCACACGATTACAGGGCTTCTCTACTCTGAGCCTGATGAATGGCCCACGAGGTGAAGCCCAGTGAATAGGCTCGGTAGCCTCGTGGATGGGTACCTAGATACCTACCTATTGATATGACAGCAATAAACAATGCACCAAACCTCGGGAGTGCCAGAACAAGTTGCATGTGACGGAAACGTGGAAAAAAGCACCTTTAATTAATGAGTGATTTAACTGCCTGCTTTGCTTCTATTGACATTTATTTATATCACTTTCCACTTTTTTTACCCTTCCGTCTCCTCTGATTTGCAGCCTTGCCCACGGCAATCTGAGCATTTGTTTATGTGCCAAATTGGGAAACCGAGATCTGGATGCCTCAGGCACCCAGACACGCTCCACCAGGCCCACCCCGAGTCCAACGCGTCTTCTAGGGTCAATTGAAAGGGACGGATGGCTATCTACTGGAAGGGCAAATCAACAAATCCGGCTCATGTGTTGTTATTAGCAGGACAGCAATTGCTAGCCCGTGTCACTTTGCTTTCACTTGTCCGCGATCCCTCTTTTGCACCCATAACTCCCGGCATTCGTCTTGCGCCTTGCAATCACCATTGCGTTCAGGGCCTTCATGTGCGCCGCAATTGTCTAGTCTCGCTTCAACTTCGTGCCGGCTCATCAGCCCGAGGCACCAACACCACAGCTCTCGCCATGGACTCCGACATGATGGATGACGATGTCTTTAGCCCGGACAACGAGTCTGATGGCTATGTCCCTGAGCTAAAAGTATGTTTCCCGGGAGGCCGTCCGCGCGGTCGTCAGCCTCGATAGGGTCAGCAAATGCGGACGCTAACAGCTGCTGGACAGAAAACAAAGCCCGCCGCCTCCAAGGCAAAAAAGCTCACACAAACGACGCTGAAGCCAAAAGCGCCAGCAAAGAAACGCAAGGTCATCAGCGACGATGAAGACGACGGCAATGACTCGATGGGCTTCTCAAACACCCCCCCAAGCTCTAAAAAAACAAAAAAAGCCCCCCCAGCCAAGAAATCAAGCGGTGTGCCCTTGGCAGAACTCGAGAATGACAGCATGGTTGTGGACTCAACTCCAAAGCCTGCCGGCAAGAAGAAGTCAGCCACCGAGACATATCAGAAACTCACGCAGCTTGAGCACATCATCAAGCGCCCCGACACATACATTGGTTCAGTCGAGTCGACAGAGCAGCAGATGTGGGTTTACAACAAGGAGGCACAGTTAATGGAATACAAAACCATTAGCTTCGTTCCTGGTTTCTTCAAAATCTTTGACGAAATCATGGTCAACGCTGCTGACGTCAAGCAGCGTCACGCTTCCATGACCTACATCAAAGTCAATATTGACCGCGAGTCTGGCCAGATCTCGGTTGAGAATAACGGTAAGGGTATCCCCGTTGAGATGCATGACAAGGAAAAGATTTACATTCCCGAACTCATCTTCGGTCACCTGCTTGCCGGTTCCAATTTCGACGACGAGGAGAAGAAAACTGTCGGGGGTCGTAACGGTTATGGTGCAAAGCTCTGCAATGTTTTCAGTACAGAGTTCAACCTGGAATGTCAAGATTCCACCAACGGCAAAAGATACAAGCAGACATGGACGGATAACATGTCCAAGATGGGCAAGGCCAAAATCACATCAAACAAAACATCCGACTTTGTTCGCATCACTTTCATGCCCGATTACAAGCGCTTCGGAATGTCCGACGGTATCGATGATGATTTGGAAAGTCTTCTCTATCGCCGAGTCTACGACTTGGCCGGCACTATTCGCGGCATCAAAGTTCATCTCAACGGAGAAGTCATCAAGATCCCCACCTTCAAAGCCTACTGTGATTTGTACGCCAAGTCAATCGCCAAGGAGCGAGTCGCCGAGGAGGGCGGCAATCCTACATGTAATGTCGAGATTGACAAAGAAAAGACACATCCGCGATGGGAAGTTGGCTTCGCAGTTTCCGATGGTACTTTCCAGCAAGTCTCATTCGTCAACAACATTGCAACGACAAGCGGCGGAACCCATGTCAATTATATCGCAGATCAGATCACCGCCAGTCTTCTGAAGACGCTGAACAAGCGCAAGAAGGGACACACTCTGAAGCAAAGTCATTTGCGAAACCACATTTTCATCTTCATCAACTGCTTCATTGACAATCCGGCATTCACATCGCAAACCAAGGAGCAAATGACTACAAAAGCCAGTCTCTTTGGTAGTAAATGTGTTCTGGGCGAGCAATTCTTAAAAAAGATTGCTCAATCTGAAGCTGTACAGAATATCATGGATTTTGCTGAAAAGAAGGCGGACAAGATGATGGCCAAGAGTGACGGTAGCAAGCGCTCACGTGTGAGCAACGCCAAGCTCGTCGAAGCCAATTTGGCGGGTTCGCGTCGTGGTCACGAATGTACTCTGATCTTGACAGAAGGTGATTCCGCCAAGGGTCTGGCTGTGTCCGGCAGAGCTATTCTCGATCCCGATCGAATTGGTGTTTTCCCTTTGCGAGGCAAGCTTCTCAATGTCCGAGATGCGTCCATTGATCAAATCACCAAGAATCAAGAGATTCAAAATATTAAGCAGTTTCTCGGTCTCAAGCACAAGCAGAATTACACCGATACAAAATCCCTCCGTTATGGCCATCTAATGATCATGGCCGATCAGGATCACGACGGTAGTCATATCAAGGGCCTTTTGATCAACTTTCTGCAAGTCCAGTTTCCGTCTTTGCTTCAGATTCCCGATTTCTTCCGTGAGTTCGTGACACCCATCATGAAAGTCTGGCAAGGATCGGACCCCAAGAAGCCTACAAAGTTGCAAACTTTCTTCACTCAGCCCGAATTCAGCGAATGGAAGGAAAGTCACAAGCACGAACTGAGCAGGTGGCATTCAAAGTACCTCAAGGGTCTGGGTTCCTCTTCGAACGAAGATGCTCAAGTCTACTTCACCAACCTGGATAAGCATCTCAAGGAATTTGAAGTCATGCAGCCTGAGGAAGCCCAGCTTTTCGACCTTGCCTTCTCCAAGAAGAAGGCAGATGCGCGAAAGGAGTGGCTTGGGAACTTTGTTCCCGGTACTTATCTAGATCATGGTACCAAGGCCATCACATACACCGATTTTGTCAACAAGGAGTTGATTTTGTTCAGCATGGCTGATAATATGCGATCCATTCCGTCCATCGCAGACGGTTTAAAGCCCGGTCAGCGTAAGGTCCTCTTCTCTTGCTTCAAGAAAAACGTGACAAAGGACAAGAAGGTAGTTGAACTGGCAGGTTATATCTCTGAGCAGTCGGCCTACCACCATGGTGAACAATCGCTTCAGCAGACCATCATTGGTCTCGCTCAGACATTCGTCGGCTCTAACAATATTAATCTCCTGGAGCCCAGTGGTAATTTCGGTTCTCGTCTTGCTGGTGGTTCCGACGCCGCGAGTCCTCGTTACATTTCCACACGCTTGTCTCCCTTTGCGAGAAAAATCTACCTCGCGGAGGACGAGCCCAACTTGAAGCAACAGTACGATGATTCAAATGTGATTGAGCCCGAGGTATATACCCCAATCATTCCCATGATTCTCGTCAACGGTGCCGATGGTATCGGCACTGGTTGGAGTACCTCGATCCCAAATTATCACCCCACAGATATCGTCAAGAACCTGAAGCGCCGCATGGGCCGTCTGAACCTGGCAGAAGAAGAAGAGCTGCCTTTTGAGCCTATGATGCCCTGGTTCCGCGGGTGGAAGGGTACCCCCGAGGCTGCTGGCCCCGACCGTTACAAGTTCAATGGCATTGCGTACCAGAATGATCAGAACCCGAATGAAGTGGTAATCACTGAGCTTCCCATCAGAGTGTGGACCGATGATTTCAAGACCAAGTTGGAAAAGATCATCAGTGGCACAGAAGGTCCTGCCTGGATCAAAGATTACAAAGAGTTCAACGATCACAACACCGTGCACTTTGAGATCATGGTTGATGAGAAGTTCATGCCCAAAGTTCTTGAGGAAGGGCTCTTGGAGCGATTCAAGCTTCAAAAGCAGGTTGCCACCTCTAACCTAGTTGCCTTTGACATGCAAGGCCGCATTCGCAAGTACGACAAGGTGGAAGACATCATGGAGGAATTCTACCATTACCGACTGGATATGTACTCGGAGCGAAAGAAGTACTGGCTCAATGTGTACCACCGTGATTATCGCAAACTCAAGAATCAAGCTCGGTTCGTCCAGGAAATTATCAGTGGCGTCTTAGTAGTTGGAAAGAAGAAGAAGCAGGCTTTGGTTACAGAACTGCGCGAGCGCAAATACGAGGGTTTCCCGCCCAGCAAACCTGGCGCCAAGGCAGAGGAGGAGGAGCTCGGTAACGCGTCCGACGCCGATGACGACTCTTCCGGTGCACTGGATGCCGGGTCGAAAGACTACGATTACCTCTTGTCCATGGCAATTTGGTCTTTGACTGCCGAGCGTTTGCAGAAACTACTCGACGCTATCGCAAAGAAGAAGGCTGAGCACGACGAGCTTCAGGCAAAGAGCGAAAAGGATCTGTGGTGTGAAGACCTAGACGCATTAATGGCTGAGTGGGATAAACAGGTTGCCATTGATGCCGAGATTCAGACCAAGATTCGTCGTTTGGGCCGCCGTGTTTCGAAAAAGATAGGTGCTGGCAAGAACCGCAAGGCCAAAGATGAAGATGAGTATGAGCCTGAAAAGAAGAGTCGAGCCAAGGGCAAAGCCGCTGTGGCTAAACCAAAAGTGGAAACCAAGACAGCCCAGCGCTTTGCTGACATGTTCAGCTCCAAGCCAAAGGTCAAGAAGGAAAATGATGCAGATGTTGTCGAGCTGTTTGACGACTTTTCTGACGATGACTTTGCTGCTCTTAGCAGGAAGCCGGCTGCATCAAAGCGCACGAAGGCTGTCTCCGCCATTGCTTCGGCCTCACAATCCCAGTCCGAAGAGCCAGAAGCTCGTCCAGTCAAGAGAGCGGCAGCTTCCAAGGCAAGAGCCCTATTCGATGCCGACTCCGCATCGGAGAACGAAGATGACGATGTGGTCGACGTCGACTCTTTGGTGAAGGGCATTGGAGCACCGAAAAAGAGTGCGTCGCCCGCACCCTTGAGCAAGTCGATCTCCGCACGCTCCTTCCAAATTGATGATGACGACGACGATGTTCTTGGATCATCCGCACCAGCCAAGCCCATAACCAAGGAGGATATTCTTGACAGTCTTCTGTCCGATGAAGACAAGCCTTCGACGTCGAATATCTCAGGATATGCGGCATTGAAAAAAATTGCTCGCCCCAAGGCCGTTGCTGCCAAAGCCAAGCCAAAGGCGGCAGCTAAACCCAAAGCTGCAAGCAAGCAAACTACCCTGTCACCAGCTGCAAAGGCGTACGCAGCAAGAAAAGCCTCTGCACTCGCGGACGATTCGGATGAAGATATGGCTGCACCTGGATCACCGAGTCCCAAGCGGGCTCCTGCGCGCGCTCGCCCAGGTCGCGCAGCTGCGGCCAGGAGGCCAATTGTCGTTGACGAGGACGATTCGTTATTGGCTGACGATCAGGATGAAAGCGCTGATCCGTTTGAGATGGATGATGATGACGACTGAATAGCTGACTTTGGGCAAGGTATCGAGCTGAGCTTTCGGTTCCAAGGACAGTTGGCTGGCTTTGGCTTCTTGTAGCAGGGAATAATTGCTTTTGTTGGCGTTGGGGTGAGGAAGGGGGGCGAATGCGGCTATTATTTCGGATTTTGCTATGGTATAGGCTATGTACGCTTTTATGTTGCATGTATTTGTTACTACAAGGTCGGCAACCATAATTTTGAACTCGATTATCTTTGCGGTATCAGAGCAGCTCACAATATCTTATTTGCAATGGAATCTAATTAAACCCGAGTTTCCACCTTGACGATGCTTTTGACGCGCTGCAAGGGGCTACCGGGCTGCGGTCTCTCAAATGTGACCCCAATTACGCTGGCGTGCGATATCTCACCATCTAGGCAGCGCCTCGTCGTGAGAGACGTAGTGTAGATGAAAAGTCAGTCAACTTGTCCTCGTTGATTCGAGTGACGTCGGGTACGATCCAGATCTTTGAGCTCGGCGGCGCTAAAGGGTAGCTTGCTCTCGACGCCCGACGCAAGTGTCTTTTTGGTCGTTGCTTCCAATGTGGATGTATGAGTTGATCGTAACTCCGCGCCTGGCAGGCTGCGCTTACGCAGGTAATGGTATTGCACGCGCTGCTGCACTTCGACGGTAGGCACAAAGCACTGGTCGGTAATTGCTCTCTAGGCATTGAACTCGTCTTGGTCTTTTGGTGCAGTGTTGTGTATTACTGAGTGTTGGGCATTTTTGCACTGTCAGTGATGGTATCGACGGTCTACCATGGATATTAACTACCGGTACATACAAAGCTAACATGGCAATGGCAATTCATCCAAGTACAAATTTCCCTGGGGTCCTTTTCCTTTCTGCTTTGTCAATAATTCTTTTTTTGGTGTGGATTTGGCACGTTGATGTACTATAAGAGTGCTTGTAGTTCGTTCTCGTCGAGGAATTGGAGTGGAACGATAGTCTGAGAGAGAATTGTGGTACAGCAATTCTCTGAAGCTATAAAATTGATCAACACCCTTTTAGAAGGAGAAGCAATGAATGTATTAGAGCTGTTCATTATCTTGCGAATCAAGCTTGCATCCTTGCCAACGATCGGCCCCCACGTCACACCGTTCTGCCCCTCCAAGCCCAAAACCCCACCAAAGCTGCAAGCTCTCTTTCTCTTTTCTTCTTCACCCCTTCATCCTCTTTGAACCCCGTTTTCTCCTCCTGTTCACAACCGCCAACACATCCCAATCTTTTTTTTTCCCCGCCAAATGTCCTCCAACGACGACGAAGAGCCGCAGTCGCTCAAGGCCCTCTACGCTTCCGCCGAGTCTGCGCGCTCCGCCCTCGATACGCACCACCCCGACGCGCGCGCCCCCGCCTTTGCCACAGCCCTCGCCGCCACCCTCGCCCTGTACACGCGCTGCCGGGCGCTCGTCGCCGCCGCCTCGCTCTTCTCCCCCAACGAGACGGTCGACGACGTCGCCACGTCGGCCCTGCCATATCTGCTACTAGACCTGCGCCTCGCCGACCTAGTCCAGCGCACGCCGTACGAGTCGCCGCCGCAGCGCACGCTTGTGGTGCGCCGCGCGCGCGCCGCGTACGAGTCGTTTCTCGCGCTCGTCGACAGTTATGGCCTCGTAAAGGGGCAGTACGCGAAGCTGCTGGAGCGGTACACGGAAGAGCCGGACACGTTTGCGGTGGCGACGACGGCGGCGAGTGGCGGTGGGGGAGACATGGCGGCGAGGAGAGAGGCCAAGATTGCGGCGTATAATGCGGAAAAGGAGCTGAAGCAGAAGCTGGAGACGCTGAGAAATGACTCGCGGTATGCGGAGAATGGTGGTGGTGGTGGTGGTGGTGGTGGCGGCGACGAGGACGTGGTCAGGCAGGCGCACCTCGCGGCGGTCGAGTTTGGCGTGCACGCGGCGCTGCAGGGCCTCGAGTCGCTGAACCGCGAGATGGAGATGCTTGCCATGGCGCCGGAGCGGCCGCCGCCGCCGCCCACTACACAAGACAATGGCGCAGCAGACGACACCAGCACCCGCCGTCGCGACACCGAGGACGACACGACCTGGCGGCTAGACACGCCGCTGAGGCGCACCGGTGCCGGCGCCGGTGGCCCGCTGTTGTCGGCAAAGGGCAAGCCGCTGCAGCCGTTTACGCTGGTCGGCAACCGCGCGGACCTGAAAAGGGGCGTGTTCCGCGCGGGCCACAACCTGCCCACCATGTCGATTGACGAGTATCTGGAGGAGGAGCGGCGCCGCGGCAACATACTGTCAGGCGGCACGGATCCGGAAAAGCCAGTGGTTGACGAGGATGATATGGAGGCCGTGGACCGCGAGACGTACAAGGCGCGCGAGTGGGACGACTTCAAGGACGAGAACCGCCGCGGAGCGGGCAACACCATGAACATGGGCTGAGGGCAGACTGCAAGGGGTGGGTGGGGGGTTCTTGCTGCGGGTGTTTGGTTTGAAGCATTGTTGAATTGCATATACGGCGTCTGGGTAGAAACGGTAGCCATGGGAATAAATTGCTTGTGAATGCCATGCCACTGAGCATGTCTTTTATACTCGTCGCACAACAAGGGTAAATACCAATCTTTATTATCTCCATAACATTGCGTCCAATACGGCCAATTCATTCATCCCGTTTGTTCTGTCCGCCCGTCACCTTTTCCAGAGCCTTCTTGGCACGTCCTTCCTGAAAACATCAAGGAAATACGAGAATGAAGCACAATATCCTTATCCGTCATAACCTAGACAGTAACCATTTCAGCATCCGCTCCTTCCCACTCAGCCACAGATTCTTCCTGGCTCAACAAGTACAATTCATCATCATCGTCATAGCGGTCATCGTCATCGTCAACGTCGTCGTCGTCGTCGTCGTCGTCGCCATCAATCGCTTTCAGATCATCGCAGCCGATGGTAGCGTCCGAGTCCGAGCCGCCATCTGCCGCCAGTAGGAAGTAGTCAAAGCTCTGCGGGACTGTATCCTCCCGGCTACTCTGCCCCGGCGCACCAATCACTTCCCGCGCCTCGTGGTAGTCGGAAAGGTCCGAATCAAAAGTCTCCGCTGCAACCGAGGCGTCGTCAGCAATGACCTGGTCGTGCCCATACACGGTCGATGCCGCGCCGTCATGCACGTCGACTGAGGCCGCCGTCGTGCTGCCTACCAGGCGCGTCTCCGCCATATCTTCAACAAAGGAGCCTGAAAGGCTCGACGCGGCCGAGGGGATCGTGAGGCCGGTGCGGTATGCCGGGCCGGGCCCGCTGGGACCCATGTCGGCGGGCGGCAGTGGGTCCTCGAACACTCCGCCGGTGCCGTCGTTGCATCCGCCCGCCCACAGCGGCAGGAACTTGGTCTCATTGCTCGTCAACGTATACAGGAGGTGTTTGGTGTGCATGAGCTGCAGCTCCAGGTCGTTCTCCGCAGTCTTTTCCGGCTTCCAGCGCCCACGCAAATCCAGATTTCTCTGCCCAAACGGGTGGGAGCAGCTTTGCGCGTCGCGCCATTCTTCAGACAGGGCATGCATAAACTTGGAGCTAATCTTTCCATTCCATGGATGGCGGTCTCTGTAGCGGTCGTAGAGCTCGGCCAGCTCTTTCCCCAGGCAAATTGTAAATTTAGCCGGGGAGAACGACGAGTTTTCTACCAAGCTACCATCAGCCCAGGTCGTGAATGACTCTGGTTGCTTGTACGGATAGCACGTCATCAACTTTTGTATTGGCGTCATGGTTCTGTAAATATCTCGAAACTCTGAAAAGTCTTGCGGTTCCGTGTACGTAGCTCTGTCCGCATCAATTTGTTTCTGATCCACTGTAGGTAATAGATGATGGCGTCGACACTTTTCTTGACCATCGTTGTTCAGTTCTAATTTGAGCTGTGTCTTGAGGTCCATAATGAGCTTCAGAGCCTCTTTGCATGACTGCGCAGACGCCGACGCCAGTGCCTCTTCGATTTTGACGAGAGTAGGGTTTTCGGGATAATCCCACGACGTGAAAACATCGTGCCCTTGAAATTCGGTAAGACGCTTCCCGATACGCTCAACAAGTGCCAAGGTAGCGTGTTGAATCAAATTGCTGAATTCGTCGCCAGGGTCACCTTTCCTTCTGCCGAAAAAAGTGACGTGATTAAAGTCCATCTTTTGCTTCATCTCGTCGCTGGCTGTCTGCTCAAATGCAAGCTCGTTGACGAGGACTCTAAAGGCTGTTTGGGTTATCTGAGAGTTTTCAATGATGCCGCCAATCTTGATGGCTTCCTCCGGAAGGACTTCGATGAATTTGCTGTTCTTGCCCTGCAACATCCATTGAATCACTGGATCCTGGACAGCGGATACGCAATCCCATATCTTAGCAAGTGCTACAATGGTCCATAATCGACTAGCAGAGTCAATAAAGACTTCTTTGTCTTCAATCAGCATCAGCAAGCGGATGATGCCGTTGCGGTGCCGAATAGGACAATAGTCTGGTATATTGAAGTGAGTGGGTACGTCCTCGACCTGACGCTCTTGTCCGCGGTTTCGGGCGAGTACAAGTTCTGACACAGTAAGAGGAAGCTTTAAGGCAGAGTTGGTTTCTTTGGCTGGTCTCGCCTGACTGTCCCTGACAGCAGCAGGCTTCGTCGATGCAGCAGTCGTGAAGCAGTTGGCGAGGCGTCTGCAAGGGCAGACATCGTCGTGACCTTTGACGAGATAGAATGGGGCATTTAGTCTGGCATAAGAGGACCACCATTTGATAATTCCAGGTGTGAGGGACAGTTCTGTAACTTGAAACACCATTTCGTCGCCCTCAGGTGGTGGTGTCATATCCAAGACATATTTGACGCCTTCGGGCAGTTTGTTAACCAACTCTCGGCGGCGGAAAATACGAAACTGATATGTCGGCTGGAGCATTTCGGCAAATTTCGAAGAGCCTGTCGCCAGCAACCTCTCTGAATGCACGCGAAACTTTTGCGAGCGGAAGGGCGCTCCCTCGCAGTCCACTGGTATGTCACCTTTGCTTGGCTCGGGGAAGTCGACGAAAACGAGCGTGTCCCCCTCGTTAAATTCTACCTCGGTAAAGTGCATCTTGTATCGTTGAATGGCAATTCTTTGCCGATAGGGTACGTCTTGCATGATTTGTGGTTGCAAATGTAACGGTAGCGTCGAGGATTCAAGCGTGACGGGGACATAGTCGTCGATTCTCGCAATGGGTTCCGTACCAAGCCGATCGGAGCTATCAGTCTGCTCCGCAGTCTGCGCACGCGTGCCGGCCGATATTAAAGAGGCCTTAATGGCCTCCTTCAAGTCTTGCTCTTCTTCTGTGCTCGCCATGGTGCACGAGTTGGCGCGGCCGTTGGTGCAGATGCTGCAAGAGAGGAAGGCTCGGTCGACGCACGGTGAGTCGTGAGGTGATGTTTAATAAACAAAGAAGGAGAAGAAGAGAATGAGGTTGCAGAGTTTTTTGGAGAGGCAGAATGAAGAACTTGAAAAAGAAAAGTGGCTTGGTTGAGAATTAGAAACAAAAAACTTGGAGCGGGCGATGGGGGCTGCACTTGGTTGTTGCCTACCTACTGGTAGATGCCTACCTAGGTAGCAAGGCGTCTCAGGCTGGGTCTAGGCGGCCGTCGTGCGGGCGATGCAGTCATCGAAATTGGGCAGAAGTCGTGGTACATCGAAATTCAGTAGTGGTTTGTACTGCCTCAAGTGAATCAGAGAATGTGTTTGCTTTCTACACATAGAAATAGTGGTGGACTATGGATACGTTTGGATGGGATCATGGCCATCAGTTTGCTAACGGGACGGGGCAGTGATGCTGGGAAAATTTGCAAGGGGCACACAGTGGCTGAAAATATGATTTTTCTTTTCTTTTCTGAGGCCATAGTTTACTGACAGTATTTCAGTCGAACGGACCAGGCTGGCGATATTGTTGATCTCGGGATCTGCATGGAGTCGCAGGCGGGAGGGTGTGCATTAGCAGGCTACAGCCCACAGGGTACAGGCAAGATGCTTGTGAGTCAGAGACTCAGAGGTGCGGGCTGATGCAGCTAAGATAAACCGGCAGATTTTCATGCTTCAGGTGTAAGAGATCAGCTTCGGGAAACTTTCATTGTTGTCGTTGATGCGCTGGCTGAGTAGATGCTCTGCAAGGCGATGCATACTCTGCGGGCGGCAGCAGCCATCAGTCGGCGCGCACTATAACACTAGTTATGCACACATTCGGTTGTCAGTGGCTGATGGAAAGCTGCCAGGTTCTCGACATCTGGAGCTGATGGTTTGATTCGGCATTGTCCCCAAATATAGACGAAGCGCGAGTCGACGGGCCACTCACTCTACCTAGGTTGTCTGGGTAGATCAAATGAGTGTCATCGCTTAATGGCCAAATAAAGGGCACACAAATTGCAACCAGCGAGAAGCGCTTTTCGTGCTCTCTGCCTCTTGAGTGATTTGGTACGAATACTGCCAAGTTGTTCGTCTGATCTGTTTACTTTATTACCGATGTTTTAAATCACTCCGCATTTTGGCCCACTGTAGCCCACTGTAGCCCACTGTAACCCTATGACTTGTCATGTGGGGGAAGTCCCTTGCTCCTGTACTTTAGGATGACCTCAAACAGTAGAGAACTGACTCGATGGGTATCCAAGAAAGTATCAAGAAATTTGAGAAATTTGAGAAATTTTCCAATTATTTAATAATCTCTCAATGAGTCCGTGTTTAATCAAAAATCATTCATCTCGTTGTCAAGGCTAAAAATTTGCCACGCCTTGTGCCCCCAGGATCCCCTCCCCCCGTAAATAGCTGCCTTCTCTGGCCCCCAATTTCTCGTCGATCCTCCAACGTAAACTACACCTAAAATCAGTCCGCATGCCGAGAGAACAAAAGCCCTCCCCCAACTTGGTTAGCAATCTGATTCATGTCACTTGCCAATCAAGACCCGTCTCGGTGCTCGTACTCGCTCCGGTTAGCTCCCCCGCACCCTACCAGACATCAACCTGCAATAGAGCTGCAACTAGCAAGCTAGCCAGTACGTAAACTTAGGCTCTCAACAACCTCATCACTTTCTTCCCCCCCCGCCCCCACCACCATCTCATCTTTTCCACCTCCTCACCTCCTCCCTTCATCTCATCAACGTTCGTCTTTCCAATACTGGCCATCTTATTCCGCAATTCCGCATTCTGACCCCCCGTTACAATGGCCGGCATATTTCTGTAAGGTCCCTTACCCAGCTTTCATTGCCCACGCGACCACCAAGCCGCAAACGTCTCTACATGTTATACTCATCCTTGCCCTTTGTCTCTGTTTTTGTTCATAGTCGCAATCGAGCCCTCTTTGCCGTTAGCTTCCTCGCCGCGGCCGCCACCACCATGGCGTTCAAGTACAAGTCCGACGCCTACCGCTCCAACGAGATTGCCCAGCAGCAGCGCAAGGCCCCCAACGGCTATGTGAGCGTCGACCGAAGCGGTGGCGGCATCTAGACCACCATCTACGGTGGCGAATACTGGGCCGCCGAAGACAGCGCAAGAGAATCATCAGTTCGACGCGCGCGAGTGCAAAATCCATCAACATATAGAGACTTACGAGACTTCAAGGCTCCAAGGCCTCAAGGACTCAAGGACAGGAAAAAAACTCCCATCGCCCGGCTTGACGGCACGACCACGATTACGACCAAACATGTACATCACCCAATTGCATCCAATGTCATACACGGATTCTTCCCCTAGGTTCCTGCGCAAATTATATCGCCAGGCCCATTGTCAATATTATACTTGAGCTGCAAAATATCAACATCCTAATCGCATATTCCCCCCAACCATGCCATGTTTTACATGTATCCCCATCCTCCACTCTGCCATTTCAGTCACGCGATTGGCAGAGAAACATACGTTACAAAAAAAGCAACCCCAGGAAAGACGCCAAAAATGATCAAGACAAAAATATCAAATTTTCCACCGTTAAAATGACCAGGATTTTACAAACCCAGTCTCAATATGATCCCGCCCGCTTCGAAGTGGCCTCGTCTGCGTCATCATCGCCGCCTTCATCCGATGAATAGGCAACTCCTTTGCCTTTGCCTTTAAACTTATCCCACCCTTCCGGCCGTTCCGAAACTTTGACCTCGCGCAAGCTTCTTCGACTCACTGGCCGCTTGTTGGGCCCTCGGCTGGGTGTAGAGCTGCCTTTCGCGCGCTTCTCTGACGGGCCACCACCGCCTTCATTGGATGAATTCCATCTCGTTGGTGGCGTCGATGTGTTTTTGAGATCCCGCATTTCCTTTACCACGTCCGCGAAGCTCTCCTCTAGCGTCTTCATGCGCGCCAGAACCAGCCGGCCCATCCTATCTCGATCTGCTGCATCGATGCCGCGAGCCACACGCATGCGACTCTCCCTCATCATTGCCATGGCCATTTGCGTCTGGAAGCTGCCCGGCATACTCAAGTTCGCATGCGAGTCGTCCGCCCCCATACCAGTCTGGTCCGACATGACACTTAGATCAACAGAAGACAGCCGACGTCCTTCTCGAAGTCGGGCGCGAGTGGTATCTATGCTGAGCAGCGCCGTCCGACTGATTCCTCCGGCTTCAGTCATGCCGGCCGGTGGCACAATCGGTCGAGGCTTCGCCTCAGCAATTGTTGCCGTTTTTCTGACGGGACTGCGGCGTCCAGAACTCGTTTGTCCTTCTCCGGCGGTATTACGGCCGCTGCTACCGGGCTTCTTGGACTGTACCGGCTTCGGCGGCGACTTGGTCGCGAAAGCTGGTGTAAGAGAGGCCTCTTCTTCTGGATTGAACAAGATCGTATTCGTAGACAGTGTACGACTGTGCGCCCCACGACGTTGGTTGTGGGCGCGAGGGGTGGCTGGTGCTTTGGGTGCCATGGCTCCAACAGAGCTGTGGGACGAAGCCAACTTCCCAAAGCTGGCACCGAGAATCGGGCCGAAGTAGTCTCCTTGTCTGGCCATCAGGCGAGACTTATTCTCGCCAGCACCTTGTCCAAGGTTTGTGGCCGTGTCTTCTTCGTCCTCATCATTTGTAACAAGCTCGTCGTCACCATCTGCATCTGTATGATCTTTAAGCTCGACGTTGAAAGACGGTAGGCGGGAGGCAGACGCAGGTCCAGGACCAAACGCCCCATTATTGGACATGAACTCGGCAGGGTCACTGGCTGCAGATCTTACATCAGATACATGGCGCGGAAGGGGTCCTCGTTCCCAGCCCACACTCATCCGTCTCTGCCAGTCCGGCACTGCCCGGCTATCAATGGTTGGCCAATGGTTGCCACTGCCATCCTCATCGTGCTGCTCCATCCAATTGCGAATGGCATTTTGCGTCTTGCGCCGCTCATTTCTTCGCTGCGTTCTCAACGTCGCACTTGCTGGCGCTCGCCTGAACAACTCTTCCAATGCGCGGTCCTTCTGAAAACCTGCGACAGACTCCTCCCGAACACGAATGTTTGGACTGAAAAGAGCCGTACGGTTGACAGCATCACCAAAGGATATGGCGCGGCGTCTGCCTCTTCCGTGGTTTTCGACTAAGTCAGTGGGCTCAAACATGGAGGGTGCCAACCAAAACCTTTCGTAAAGATAGATGCAGAAGAGAATGGGGAAGTGCGTTGCCTTGATAATGGTGCGGTTCAGCCACACGAATTGCCTGAGTGGCATGCAGTAGCGGAGCGGCATTAGTACCCACGCAAATATATTCGTCGGGGCAATGTATGAGAATAAGGCATCATTCTTGACCATGGATATCGTGTTGATGGCAAAGACAAACTGATGCTCCTCTGTGGCGTTTGATGCGATTGCGGTGAAAGAATTGGTCAGCACCGTAATGAGGATGGTGACGACAAGGTAGTGGCAAATGATGAGGAAAACAACCATGAGAGATCTGGCCAGCCAGTTATAAGTCGGCCAGACATCCCACACAGCAGGCGTAAAGCCCATGAGAATCTGGAAAATCTTATAAGCAACCTCACTACCGTCACTCTGCACATTCGAGAGGGTAAAAAAGACGTAAAACCCGCTGCACATGATGAGAACGAGTATAAATACGGCGGCCAGATCGAGTGTCATGAGGCGAAATGCAATCAGCAGCTGCGAGAAATATTGGTAGTGATCGAGCACACTAAAGATGCGCGGCAGCAGCAATATTGCATTAGCGGCCAGCACATCGTAAGCCATGTCGTTCCAGTGATGAGGGTCAACAAGGAAGACTCCATAGGCGCGCATGCAGTAGTAGACGATGAGCAGGACCAAGATGCCGAGATCAAACACGTTCCAGAAGCTCATAATATACAGGGCAAATCCCTGTTCATTGAAACCGACCAGCTCGTCAAGCATGAAGCCCGCACTCCAGAACCAAAAGACCAGCTCTAGCCCACTGATATGCACTGAGCGTTGTATTAACACCGCCAGAAAGAGTCCAATCAAGACCGCTAGCGACAGCGTCGACAGGAAGGACCGATAACGAGGCACGCGGAGACGAGACAGCTTGAAAACGGAAGCCTGTCGTGGGTCATACAGCATGACGGTACGACGCCCGTTTGGGACATGGTACTGGGCATGTCTGGGCACCGTGTTACCCAACAACGGTGTCCTATCATCCGACTTATTTGGTGAGCCGTTTGCGTGACTGTAAAGGCCGATAGGGGCTTCCTCCCTGTGCAGTGTATCGGCAGACGAGTAAAAAGAAATGGCGCCGTTCCAGATGGCTTCAAGTTGCTGAACGACGACAGGGTGGGCGAGAAAGTGCTTGGCTGAGGCACGAATGGCAACCTCGAGTGTAGATGTGCGCGATGCGGTCAATGTTCCCTTGGCTTTTCCGGTGGCTCGGCTGGCAATGTCTTCAGACGCGCCTGGAAGACCTTGTAGGGGGTAGAAGTCGTAAGCCAGGGCGTCAATCAGCTCGCGGGTGGAATACTCCTTGAGCAGCTTGAGCGCCAAAAGTTCGCAAACTTTGGATCGGGTATTGCTGATGCCTGTATTGGCGGCGTATCGTTGTCCTTCCTTGTTGAACTGCAAGCAATTGGCCATGAGAGCATACACAGTGGCTCGGGAAAAGTGCTGGGCGCGAATCAGTTGCAGCATCGGTTTGACGAGAAATTGCGAAACCTGAGGAGAGCGTAGCTGCTCCCAGGTCAGAGATGTTTCGGTTCGAGTCGATACTATGATCCGAATAGCGTGGGTAATGTTGTAGACAGGAAGGGTATCTGTCAGAGCGGCGAGTCGTTAGCTTGGACCAATGGCGATGCAGCTGGAGCCTGATATTTCATACCAAGATGGGTAGAAGAGAAGAGTGGGATGACGGGCAGGCCACCTGGGCCTCGCTGCTGGGGTATAGCCAAGTCGTCTACGGCGTGCTCGTCATCCGGGTCTGGTCCGTCGCCGTGATCGAGGCCTTGTTCTTCATCATCTTCGTCATCTTCATCGTCGTCGGCCTCTGTGAAATCGGCCGTGGCATGCATACGGGCAGAGGATTGACGAGGTGGGCGATGAGGAGGCGGCGACGGGCTGAAGGTCTGATGAAGGCCGCCGGGACGGCGCTGTTTACCGTGACGGGATGTGAACATGGTGGCGAGCTGAGGCGTCCCCGGTAATCTACGCGATATGGGCCGCCATTAGGCGTTTGGCGAGGCAGAACTGCGAATAGAAGGGAGAGGGACTGGCGGCGGTGTCTTGCAGCACACCCACTGCAGATGCCCTGTTCAGGTTGGTGTGCAGGAACCAGAGAAGCAAATAGGCTGCAGACGCAAGAAGATCAAGATTTCGAGGTCGAGCAGAGCAGTCGCGGTGCGACAAGGGGTGGTGCTGGAGCCGGAGGTGGTGTGGCGGTTGCCCCCTTCAGGCGAGACTAGGTCAGACACACATTTGCGTGCCGCAGGTAATAGTCGATCGACAGTTCGATTGGTATCGATTTTTTTTTTCCCTCTTATCTCAAATAACGCGCCTTTCTACTCGGCTATCTGATGGGTTGCTACTATCAGTAATCTGTCAGTACCGTACCATCATTACCTAGAGCGCGACGAACGCGTGGTGAAGAGCGGGGTGCAAGTCGCAGCTCATTTATTCTGCACAGCATGAGAACGAGATTTGAGATTACAGGGCTCCATAGCGGCTCCGTTGCGGCTCCGGCAGTGGACACGGGCTGACAATGCTTTGTTTGCAGCCCGGATTATGGACTTGGGCAACACCTCTATCGAGGAATCCGTGCATTCTTTTGCATCCAAACTTCGAGGTCTTATCTACCCTCGAAGCTTTCTTCTTTGCAGAGTAAATATCTTGCATGCATACCGCATCAATGCATCTATAATGACCACCTGCAGCCTACTGATGCTGGGGTCATGCGGGTGAACGCATGACACTTTCTAGCTCCCCGCTAGGCCAATCCCACACTGATAATTGGACCACGCACTCTGCACGTTCTGCATGCTAGTCATGGGTTTGCGCTGGGCTTTGTCCTTGTGACGTCGAGAAAACAATCGGTCGCGGTCAAGAGTTTGCCAGAAATTTGCACTCACTGCAGAGACATTAGTCTCTTGTGACTCTGGTACTGTAGCAATGCCGCCGGTGCAAGTTGCGGTTCCCCTAACAAACACGCAAATCGTCCACTTGCTACTCGCATACTGTTCTTCCACGGCCCAAGACGATAATCACGCCGCCACATGCCCGTATCTGTTATGAGCTACTTGTCCGTAGGTGAGAATCCGCGTCATAAGCAGCCGAGATAGTGACTTCATCACAAGATTCTCTATACTGATATAACACAGCAGCTTATTCATGAAAATCTTACTTTTCAGGGTAACGCGTCACACGCTATACGAAGCATGTGGCTAAATCAATCGTGGCTCAGACTCGTGGCGCGAGCTATCAGAATCGGGTTAAGCTCCGATTGCCGTCCCAGTTAGGCAAGTCCGAAGCCGACAGGGCTGGCTATGCTCACTACCTTGACCTCGCACTGAGATTTTCAAACTATGCCTTGCTGATTACGAATATACCCTCAAAAAATCATCTTTATCTTACGAGAAAAAGAATAGTCAGGTTGGCTTGGCCAAGTTGTAGAAGAAAAAAATCTGACTAGAAGTGTGATGATCAGCGCGAAATCGGAGCCAAATCGTAGCGTGCCCGCCAGAGGCCGTCTCCGAGTTTTCGTGTAAGTACTGTCGGTAAGGCCATTACGGAAACGGCCTTGGCAGATTTGAGCGCTTTTAAATCAACCAGATTCAGGGCCATGCACCCGGCGATGATTGTTGAGCATCGACTCTACCCATATCGTAAGAGAACCTGCTGGTGAGACTGGCTTTTGTCGAGCTCGAGCTGAGTCACGGCGCGTAATTGGGCGGCAATGGTGGGAATCAGCGCTGAAACCATGGTTGCAAAGCAAATAGGCTCTCGACTTGTATATGGGGATGATACAACTTGTACAAGTCTCGAGGTTAGCAACTACTGGAGGCCACAAGTTTGGAAGTTCCATTTATCGAGGCCCAACCTATGCCGCCTCTACTGCTGCCCCTATTGACTAGTTGCTTGGTTCTGCAAGGTGATGTTGATGAATTTGACGCTGCAATGACAAGAAAAGCGAAGAGCAGGGTACAATAAACAGTCTACATAGATATAAGGGTCCATAGTCGCGAAAGTAGTTTAATTTGTCAGTTACCTGTTCTATACAACGCTGCGCAGACCTGATGTTGTTGACTAGTTTCTGTCCTGTGTAGACTTTATTGCAGCGACGTGGACGCGAATGCTACCTTCAATCGAAGCGAACAGCACGGCGGTGCGGTTGAGTATCTGAAATGGTCAAGGATGACTATGTGCTTTCTGGTATCCGTAAATTTTATAGTTACTTGAATCTCGCCCGGAAGGAGACTCGATATCCGATTCGGCCGCAATGTAGTGGTGGAGAGAGCCTGACGGACAGCGATTGAGGTGTCAAGGTGTGAAATCGTCTTAATGCACTGGTGTGGGGCCCTGACCTTTTGGCCGGAATTACTATTCGCAGCATCTGGCCAATCCAAACGACTCGAAACCCTTGTCTTTAGGGGGTTGCAAGGCGCCTATTAAATTGTAGCGCTTTCTTGGTTGCATTATGACGGCAGTAATCAAACTGCTTGCGCTGATCTATCAGTACAACCCACTGTAGCCTTATTTTGGAGGACTACTTCGCTGCTGGCTCATTGTAGGTGCAGTGGGCAGCAAGACTGGACGTAATGGGCAGAGCTTGTCCAAGGCACATTCAATAATAAGCAATATCCATTGTTCCAGGCAGGCAAAGCAATATGCTTGTCGAACTTGCTTCATGCAGCTTTATGGAGCAGTTAGCAACGGGCCAATGAGGCCATGAAGGGCGCCAGGAGGAGTTGGTCCCTGACCCCCCCAACTCCCTGGCAATGGCTGGCCACTAGCGCAGGCACTAGCAAGCCTAATAATTAGCGATAGTTTCAGGGGACGATATGGCCAATTACTCAACTCTTGGGCTAACTACAAGCATGCTTCCTGGAATCCTAATACAGACAGCGTCGCATCGTGGAGAAGAAAAGTAATCGAGTCAGATAAGGATTATCAGAAATAAACTAGAACTTGCATAACCCTGTTGCCGGATACTTGTCTGCACAAAATACCTACAGAGCTGGCGCTCCCTGATCCAATGCTCACCCCAGTGGCCCAGCCCATTTCTGCCCTGACATTTCCACACCCGCTCCTTCAACGTGACTCCCTATTCGTAGGTACTTCGTATTTCTCACAAAGCGAACCACGTTCGTACTGTGGTCCTTGCCTTCACCTCTTCTTAACATCGACTGCTGCCAAAGTGACCGCCGTGGAGGCCTCTTCGTCTCAGGCATAACTGTCGCGCCGTTGATGAAACAAACGCGGCCTGCTCCTACCCGCTGACGACCACGCCTGCCACCACTTCTCGAGCGCACGCCACTCAATTGGCGGCTCTGGCACTGGATGGAAGACTGAGCCGCTTCGGAGGCTTATTGACGTTGCCGTCCTGACCTCGACTGCTCCAGGTGCCGCTACTTCTGCGACACATTCCAGATCCGTTAACTAAAAACCGTTAATCGCCACCGCCATGGCTACCACCGTTGCCGCTGTCGCCATAGACAACGGTTCCGACAAGAGCGACACTCACGATGAAAAAAGCCCTCGAAAATCGGTCGAATCTACCCAGATGCCTTCTTCGGCGACAACGACTGAGGAAGATGCAGATGCCAATACACCCAAGATGACACATGACTCCATGGTGACCGTCCGCTTGTCTGAGCCGCCCTCTTTGACTCTCGACACATCTTCAGCCTCTGGTTCGGAGCCACCGTCGAGCCCAGTTGTCAGCCCTCTGTCTGCTGAGCTGGAAAACACCAAGACCTCCGCAAATAGCACCCATCCCGAGACTTCCGAAATGGAGGATGGACAACCCCCTCGACATAGTGTCGTCATCGTCCGGCACTCGACGAAACTACAACGAACCGATACAACCCGCAGTTTGCAAGACGAACTCGGCCAGTGCGAGGACGATGCTAGCGATGTATCAGAAGACCTGGAAGAGGTTGATTGGGAGGAACTCGAAAAGACGGAAGATCAGCAAACGAAAGACGACGAGACGGACAACGTAAGTGCCTCTAGCCGTTTCCCGACAATTCTGTCCATCTCGACCCAAATGCTCATCTTCTCAACCACAGTCGACGGCACTGCTTCTCGCCCGACTTGAACAGGAAAACGCAAAACTGGCTACGAACCCCAAAACCGTCAAAGTCCAAGCCGCGGAGAGGCTCATGGCAGCCAAAACCCGGCCGCCTTCCATGGCGCAGCTGCGCCAAATGATGAGCAGCCCGACACTACCCGAACTTCGATACTCGATGTTGCCATCACCTCCCATGACCGATCTGGAATTTTATGCCGCTCTGGTCAAAGATTATCAGCAAACGGCCGCCCGCCTGCCGACATTACTATCAAACAAAGTCAGAAAAGGTATACCGCCGCCACTCCGAGGTGTCGTGTGGATAAGCATGTCAGGTTCCAGAGATGCGCAATTGGAAGAGCAGTTTGATCGGTTCAGTGGCGAATCTAGTCCCTATGAGCTCATTATTGGCAAAGATCTTGGCCGAAGCTTTCCAGGCGTCGACATGTTCCGTGACCCTGAAGGTGACGGCCAACGTATGCTAGGCAATGTTCTCAAAGCCTTCAGCCTACACGACACAAAAATCGGATACTGCCAAGGTTTGGGATTCCTGGTTGGCCCCCTACTCATGCACATGCCTGACAAGCAGGCGTTTTGCGTATTGGTTCGGTATGTATACTTGCTCGGTACGCATCGGACCTCACACTAACATGATTCAGCCTCATGGAGCGTTATGACTTAAGAGCGTGCTTTCTGCCCGATCTATCAGGACTGCATGTACGCATTTATCAATTCCGAGAACTCCTGCGACACAATTTTCCAGCCCTCTCTGCGCATTTGGAAGAGCTGCAGGTTGAGACCGCCTATGTCTCCCAGTGGTTCCTCAGTTTCTTCGCAGTCACATGCCCGCTCCCCATGCTGTTCCGCATCTACGACGTTATTTTCGCCGAGGGAGCATCCGAGACCCTCATGCGCGTTGCTCTCTCGCTGATGCGGAAGAATGAATCTCGCTTGCTGGCTTGCCAGGAGCTCGAGGATGTAATGCAGCTATTGCTATCCCGCGGCCTGTGGGACTGCTACCACTATGATGCAGACGAGTTTGTTCAGGACTTTGCAAGCTTGACCGGCATCGTCACCCGCGAAAAGTTGGCACAGCTCGAACAAGCCTACCGAGAGTCACTGATTGCTACAGCCAATGCTGCTCGCGCATCTGACATTACGACGGCTGCTAGCCGATTCTTGGGGCGCATTTGGGCAAATACAAACACCAAGACTGCAACATTGACTCCCGGTCTTAGTGCGCCCGGCAAACAATTCAACATTTTGAGACGAAGCACATCGAAGCAGAGCCTCGCATCTACTCTCAACTCAGTCGAAGCGAGCTCTGCCAGCATTAGCAGCTCTACCTCTACAGACGCAACTAGCGTGTCACGAGACTCTGCCAATCCCGACGAGGAGGCCTCTAGTCGAGAATCTACACCGGTGGGACCAAAAGCAGCAGCACGCTCCAAAACAACAGAAGACCGATACCTGCACAGCCAGATTGAAGACCTCTTGACCGCTCTTACTGAGCTGCAACGCAGCAATGCGCTTGTCACGAACCAGTTACAGCGTGAACGTGAGGAACGTGACGAAGATCGTAAAGCCGTCCGCTCTTTACTTGATGGCCTGCGAAGGCGAGCAGGCACTTCGGAGTCGGAGGATGCAGAAGTTGTTGCTCGAAGTCTTCGTGATTCGGCTATTGCTGAAGACATTGAAGACGAGGAGTATGACGCAGCCGAGGAGAGCGACGACACAGCTACTGCTGACGATAGGAGTATAAAGGAAGTTGCTTCTGTGACTGATACAGACGATAACGACGCAAGGACACCAATAGCAGACGAGTCGCACGGGCATTTTGGGCATGAAGAGACTCTAGCGGTACTTGAAGAACCCGCTGAGCCGCCATCGACGGAAGATCTGTCGGTTCTCTTGGACCGAGTAGAATCGAGATTTGCGCCAGATAACAAGATAATGAAGCACCGATCATCGATGCTCTTGACCAAGTCTCAGCTGCGAGAAGAGCTGTCTCAGGCAAAAGCAGAACTGAGTGCTGTCACAGCGCAATGTCAAGATCTCAATCGGCGCATATATGATATGGACCAAGAAATGGCTGCGACAAAAAATCAGCTAAAGGACCGCCATAGCCATGTGCGAACGCTTCATCAAGAAAAGCAAAAATTGGAAAAGCAGCTACATAGTCTCCGGACTACGCGAGCATCAGCAAACCCGTCATATGATGCGGGAACGAAAGATGCAGATCCGGACTGGGCAGCAGCGGCGAAGGGGGTGAACGGAACGGGCTTGCGAGATTTTAAGCTTGGACGTAGCAGATCTACGCCGTCAAATCAGGACAGCCTATATAACAAGCGCATGTCGTCGCTGCAACGGCCTGGCGCAATGCCGACTGAATCACCGCCGAGCGAACATGAGGCATTGCTGCTGGAACTTGTGCAGGCCAAGACGGGTGAGGCGACTGCGAAGCAGGAAGCAGAGGAGGCGAAACAGAAGCTTGAGGCTCTGCGCAAAGCAACAGGGCTTGCGCCCGGCGACTCCCCATCATCATCGGCGGCAGTGGGAGCCATGGGCATGTTTGGGCGACTTACGGGGCAAGGTCCGGCAGCAACAGCAACACCAGAGCCGGCGGTGAAATTACCATCCTCGGCCTCGGCCAACTCGGCGGCTAGCGGTGGGTTTTGGGGGTGGCGGAAATGAGAAGAAGGTGAATGCTGTGTTGGTTATTTCCTGTACATAGGCATTCCACGGGCAAATCCATGATTTGCTTCCGTTGGGTATACGTTTAGCGAAGCAGCTTTGGTTGTTGGGTTTCAATTCTTTATTGGGGGAGCTGAGGATGGCGGCTATTTACGTATTAACTTAGGTATTGGCATCGGAATCAAGAGTAGAATGAAACATTTACAACGAATGAAACAACGGCAAATGTTGATTGGAAATGCGCATGACGCTGACACTAAGACTGACCAGGAGAATACAGCTGCAATAGGACGTCTTTTTCAACGTATGCTGTGTGCGATGATGTATATGCACAGCAGAGGCTTCCGGAATCACAGCACTAGAAAAGATCAGGGCTTGAAACAGATCAGGGAATAGTCGCACTTATGATTGACTTCTAATGGGTTTTGTTCAATGGCTAGCATTATGTTATAAACAGGTTGGTGTGTGTTGTAAGAAGCACCTATGGGTGTGGCGGTGCTATGCATAAGGTAACAGGCAAAATCGACAGGCTGGGCAAACGCCCAACGATGTGCGAGCTGCATCTGTAGCTGCGGAGCAGCGCCGTGAAGTCTGCAGTGTGTATCACCGAGCCAAGTTCACGCTGTCTTTCCAAACATGAATGGGCCGAATCTCGGACGATAGGACCCCTGCGATTCCGTGAGGGGATGAGGGGCATCGTTTATTATCCACACAGGCCATTTCGCTCCTGAATATTCAAGTTAGAATTTTTCAACGTACCAGAACTCTTTCACGCCATCACACAAAACCCCTAGCCCATCAATTCTCATCATGGCATCCGCTGCGTGCGCCAGCTGCGCAAAGTCGCCTCCCGAGGTCAAGCTCAAGCACTGTGTGCAGTGCCCCGAGGTCAAGTACTGCGGCCGTCCTTGCCAGACCGCTCACTGGCCCATCCACCGCGCCGTTTGCAACAGCCAGACCGGCAGCAACGCGAGGTCAGCCGGCAACAACAACAACAACGCGAGATCTGCCGGAAATACCAACGCTAGGTCTGGAGCAACGGCGACGGGAGGATCGTCGTCGGCCTCGGCCGGGCTGTCGCCTCCCAAGGGCCTGGAACAGGGCATCGCTAAACCATTTACGCACCTGGACAAGGGAACGTGGCTGCACGACCGCCCGCCCAAGGACGTCTACGCGCTGCTCGTCGACGCGTACCGTCTGCGCGTCGAGGACATGTACAACCTCGAGGGCGAGATTGAACCGGGAAGCCTGTACGGCGGCGCGCCCAACGGGCTCGCCGGCTTCCGGCGCTTCCTGGCCCGCGTGGCGGCGCGTCCGGGCCTGCTGCCGCCGTGGTGGAACGCGGACAAGAAGAAGGAGTGCGAGGATCTGGGCATGGACGCCGGGCAGTGGCACGACTTGCGTTGCGCGGTGGAGAAGAGCGACATTATCGAGCACTATGGAGATGGGCAGTTTCCGATGCAGCTGCGCATGTTTGCCGAGGCCGTGTATGGAGGGCCCGCGCCGGGGGGATTCAGCGGGACGGCGATGAGGAGCATGATGATGGCGATGGAGCAGGGTGGCATGGGGGACATGCAGGCTTCCAGTTTTGATATCTCTTCCATGTTAAAGAGGTAATGGATGGTCGACCGAGGGAAAGAGGAACATCCTCTTGCCCGTGGAATTTGAGAAGAAGGCTTTTCCAGATTGCCGATAATGTCTCTCCGTCGGGTGGAACAGGAACAGTCTTTTGCCCCATGATTGGAAAGGAAAGCTTCATCAAATTGCCAATAACGTGTCTTGTTGAAGTGGACTATGATTGTCAGTGCGTGAACCTATAGCCAAGATTGAAACTGCAGGCTCATCTTTCTTGTTAGTATCGCTCTCACGTATTCAAAGAAAAAAAACGGCTCTGTTGACCGGGTAGTGAGTTGGTGAGGTGCTTGTCTGGACGAGGTGAAGTCCGCTAGTTAGTATGTGAAGTCTTCCCTTGTGCCAGGGTAAAGTGAGGGAATTGTAATTGGTCCAGCATCCGTTTTCATTGCTGTCGTTGAGTGGCTGATGATTCGTACGACCTAGGTGCGCATGCACGACAGGAGGCTAATGGCGCCACGCCTCGGCAGTCGTGACGTCGGCATAGATAGGTTCAAGCTCACCTTGAGGACTGGCACGTGCTCATGCGCTGATGACAAAAAGGTGATAGATAAACTCATATCAAGAGATGCAGAATAATGATGGTCACGGCATGACAGACGGCGCAATACTGTCTCGAAGAGAAAGAAGAAAAGTTCTTGTCAAATTGTGGGAAACTCGATCCAAAGTTGTTAAAGTAGATTTTGAACATAAAGATGTTTAGCTCGTTGATGCTGGTGGTGGGAAACTAAGGATTAATAAGGGTGTAGGTAGCGTGTACCCGGGGAGGTGGTGCGCCGGGACGTTATCGGGCCAACCAGCGGCGCGCAACGGGCCGCATTGTGGGCCGGACTGATGACGAGGGAAGCAGGACGAAGTAGATGGTACATATCGGCATTTCTATTAGTTGAAAGACAAGGTACGATTCCAGTTGCTCAGCCAGAGTAGGGTCATGAATGTATTCAGAGAGTATTGTATTACATTGTTGAGATTAGGCAACCTTGCAAAATTAGTTATGGGGAATCGCTTCGATGCCATCACCTCGTAATAAGACATGTCAACAACGACAACAATGGACGGCGCCGGATTCTCTTTACTGGGTCCGTTGGTCTTGGTTGTTCCATCGCTTGTCTGGCTTGTGGCTTGTGGGCACCCAAGCACCTACCTAGGCAGCCAACTACTCCGTAGCTACGGGCAGGTAACGAAATAATAGTTAGGCACCGGTCCCGGAAATAGCAGCAGAAATTTATCGCCAGGCATGCAGCATGTATAGACAAAGAACGGACTGTTGTGCGCGCCGAGCGACCTGAATGCGCGAGATATTGTCATCAAGGCGATGCAAGCTTCCGCGGAAAGCCCAAGAGAGAGAGGCGTGGGCGCTCGCGGACAGGGGCGTCTGTTGCGCAACATGGTCAGACTGATTTAGCTATTTTTGATTCGCAGGCATTCGGAGAGAATTATTTGACCTCGGCGAAACCATTACCGTACCGTGTCGGTGGATGTTGCGTGTTCGCTGGCATCTGCAGTCGCCGCCTCACTGCAAGGAACATGGTGCTTTCACACGCGGCTTTGGGTTGTCAGGACCGCCGATGATACGGAGGCGTGTCGTGTTGGGCTTGGAAATGAAGAGTACGGATAAAGATTCCAACAAGGCCCAAGTAAAGAATGCAGACCGCCTTAATGGATCCTGGCTTCGCGACGATACCCTGCCAGGTGCCCAAGTACACAAACGGCGGGATCATTGGGCGTAAAAGGATCCTCGCAGGTGCTAGAATTTGCTCGGATTTGACACATCAGCAAGCTGGCGTATCTGGCTTCATCAGCGGAGCATTTCTCTTGTGCTTGGGAATGGCTACTGAGAGGGTTATTTTCGTCGCGCTCATTCTGTCGTCATCAGCTGCTGCAAGGTGTGTGTGTGCGAGTGCCTCGTCCGACCCCGTTGATTGATGCACACCTAAGAAGCCACGGGTGCCATAAAACAAGCAAAACCAGGTAAAAAGCTTGTCAGGCCAGTAAAAACCGGTAAAACGGTCAAAATTGGAGCTGCTCTAGCTCATCATTTAGCGTACTTTAAGGCTAGCAGCCGCCTTGCTTCGTTGCTTGGATTGCACTCAATTACAGCACCCTGCGGCGCACCGGTTGCGCCACAACGTCTCTGCCTATCTCTCTCCCTGCTTACTGACTAGGCAAATTGCTAAGGTAAAGAGGCCGCGACATTACAATCCCTTCCCCCTCCATTTGACCCCCCCTCTGTTTTATTTCCTGGCCATTTTGCTTCTGACCTTGAAAGCTTTCCCTCGGCCATCTTGTTTCGTCGTTCTTCCCTCCCTCCCACAAGCTCCAAATTTTGCCTCCTCCATCTCACATCTCGCCACGAAAGAATCTCATCGAACATTTCATCAAGTACGTGAAATTTCTCGCCCCTGCCATCGCAAGCTTTCAACCTGTCCTTTTCTGAGACGGAGACGCCCCCTTTACCCCCCAGCTTTCACAAAGCAACTGCTAGTCTCCTTTGCAAGCCCCATACAGGCCATACCTAGCTACCTACCTACCTACCTACCTACCTACAAGGCCAGGAAGTCGAGCTTTCGCTAACAAGCCAAGGGTCTCTTGCCCCCTTAGCAGCCAAAGAAAAAAAAAAACACAAACAGCCTGCCCTTTGCGCCAAACAACACCACCCAGCTCAAACACGTCCTCGTTCCTAGCTCATCTTCCATCGGAATTTGACCAAGAATACAGCAAAAATGACTGATATCGCTGATGCGACCCCGGTTGTCAACGGCGCTTCTCCTTTCGAGAAGAATAGTATGGTGCGTCTGCCTTTTTTTTTCTCCTGCATTCTCCCCCATCGTTGCTCAAGGCTAACCCAGGAGACAGTTTTTGCATGTGACGCACACTTGATCGCGTGGCCCAAACAGCTAACACATGGCCTCTAGACGCCTCTGGCCTTACCAAGCCTGCTGCCAATGGTATGATTTGCGCTCTTGACACATTTCATTCTCGTTCCCGGACTTCCGAAGACTAACATGCCTGCCTTTGCGCCGCGCCTTCCTTTAGGCCGCAAGTCCCTCGCCGCTGATGCTCAGCCCGTGACACACTACCACTCCGACTTTGCTGAGCTCCTCTCCTGGAAGAATCCTCGTAAGTCCAGCCTCCAAAGAGAAGACGCTGCGGATAGGTTCGTTTCTAGTCAGCTAACCACTGGTGCTTCTTGCAGGCAACTCCGCCATCGCCTATGGCTCTATTGTTACTTTCATTCTCGCCACCCGCTTCTTCGACATCATCCGCTGGGCCATCAAGCTCTCATGGATGACTCTCGCCGTCACCATTACCGCTGAGGCTGTTGGCAAGCTTGTCCTTAACAGTGGCATTACCTCGCAGCTCCGTCCTCGCCGATACTACACCATTCACCGCGACACTGTTGAGGGGTTCGTTGGAGACGTCCACGAACTTGCCAACTTTTTCATTATCGAAGGCCAGCGCATTCTCTATACCGAAAACATTGCTGTCTCCGCTGCTGTAAGATTGAACCCAAATTGGCAGTCTGCCCTTAAGTCTCGACTGACCCTGTTCTAGGCCTGCTTCGCTGCCTTCGTCTCCTACTTTCTCGTCAAGCTTCTTCCATACTGGGGTCTCGCCATCCTCGGCACCACGCTTGCTTTCTTCGTTCCCCTCATTTACGCCGCCAACAAGGAACTCATCGATGAGCAGCTCCAGAATGCCTCTGACCTTATCAACGCCCAGACTGCTCAGGTCCGCGACGCCGCCCAGAAGCAGGCTGATCAGCTCACCGCTCTTGGCAAGCAGTATGCCGGCGACTACACTGGCAAGGTCCAGGACATGATTCGTGGCCGCCCTGCTCCTACTGCTACCTCGGCTGCCCCTTCTGCTCCTGAGAAGACCCCCGTCAAGGCCAAGACTCCCGAGTTCCCTACCGCTCCTACCGAGGAGCCCGTCGCTGCCGCCAAGGAGACCGCCCCCGAACTCCCCGAGATACCTGCTGTTCCCGAGCAGGAGCCTCTGATCGCCGCCTAGACGCGAGACTCACAATAATGTCCATGTGCACATGATCTACGAGGGCGAGGGGGGTCCTTTCTTGGTGGTTTTAACTGTCACGAGGACCTCTAGTCAAATCCGTCCTATGACTATGGTTTTTATGACTATTTGGGCTTCGATGCGGAAAGGTTTTGCGACGATTCTCATATCTTTTTGGTTTCTGCACGCATTTTTCTCGGTTGGAGGTCAGCCGGGACTGCCTTCAAAGCATGGCGTCTTGCTGGAAAGCATCATTCAGTGTGTTTTTCATGGTACTGTTATACTCGTGTAGGAAAAGAAAAAAGGAACAAGGAGACACAGGAAGACACCTGGGGAAGGCGGTGCAAGATGGCAATTGTGTTGTTAATGGTGGTGGCAACGAGCATGTTTCCTTCCTGTCCTGCGGCTTGAACTGCACCGCTTTGATGGAACTGGGACCTTCAAAGTTGATTGGTTTTGAAGACTGCACAGCGCGTGTACGCGTTTTCTGTTTGTTTGTGTAGTTTCACAAAGGGCCTCCCTGCACAGCTTTACCTACAAGTGCTTCTAATTGATTTACTATTACAATTTCGCACTTGCAACTAATGTCTGGTGGGCCACGCCTGATCTGAAGCTCTGGTCAAGATGAACTTTGATTCGTGCACTCGCTGCCGGCTATGTGTGAAATGTTCTTTTCCGATGTGCGGTAATGCGTGATGAGATAATTTGTGCAACTATGTAGTCTCCAACCAGTACAGTTGTTTCCAACCCCTATGCGAAGAATGATCTAAAGATTTGTAGAAAACAAGACGGGCGAGAAAGAGCGCAAAAAACTACAGATAAAACTCCGTCCCAGCTTCCTTTCCCAACCGTGGCAACCCTTGGCAGGGTTACTACTTTCTGCTGCGCTTGCCGCCCGCACCACCACCGCCCTCGTCGCCCGCGGCTCTCTTGCGGCCATTTTTGCGCCAAAAGTCCTTTGACTCGCGCTTCTCCCTCGCCTCCTTCTTGGCCAGATTGTCCGCCATCTTCTTCTTGAACTGCGCGCGCGTCTCCTCCTTCTTTGCGCGACGCTTGGCGGCGGCGTCGTTGCGCAGCGTGAGCAGCTGCTGCATGAGCGCGCGGGCCTTCTTCTCCTCGCCGTTGCCGCTGCCGGCGCTCGGCAGCATGGCGCGCTTCTGCATGTACGTCTGCTTGCGCTGCGGCTTGGCCTGCACAATCTGTGACTTGTAGGGGAGCTGGGCGGCGAGGGCGCGGGGCACCTTGAGGGGGTTGAAGCGGCGGTCCTGGCGCTCGACGGGGCGGTACTGCGAGTTCTTTTGCTGCGGCGCCGAGAGGCCCTGGTCGCGGCGGACCTCGCCGGTGAGGCGCATGGGCTGCCACCCGATGAGGTTGGTGACGGGGTTGTAGAAGCGGCGCGGCTTGATGGGGTACCAGGCGCGGAGGAAGACAATGTCGCTAAGGAGGATCTTGTCCTCGAAGGTGGCGCGGAAGTGGCCCTCGGGCTTGGAGAGGGCGCGCTTGATCTGCCCGCGGACGCCAGAGACGGTCTTGATGGCGGCGCCCTCAAATTTTGCAATTTCGAGCGAGGTAGTGAACATGTCCTTGATGAAGGCGGTGTTTTTGAAAATCTTGTACGGCGTGCCGGTGAGCTTGAGCTTCTTGACAATCTCGGTCGACTCGTCGACGGAGAGCACGGTGCCGGTGGCGGCGATGCGGAAGCCTGGCGTGCCGCCGGCCATGGAGTTGAAGGCGACGAAGCCGCTGTTGGGCGCGATGAGGGGCGCATAGATGGTACCGAAGCAGTGCATGTGCTCGGGTGTGTACTTGAGCATGCGGTTGCGCGTGCGCGAGTCCGAGATGGAGTAGATGGGCAGCGACTGGAAGCGCCGCCACCCGAGCGAGAAGATGAGCGGGTCGTTGGTCTTGAGAATCTTGCGGTGCCACCGGTGCCGCTTGATGCGCACCTGCACAAAGCCCCAGCGGTCCTCTGTCGGCGTGAGCCCGCCCACGATGATGGGCAGCCGCGCGTCGAAGCGCGACACAAACTCGGCCGGCACCCCGTCGAGCACAAGCTTGGCGTACCGCCCCGCCCGGAAGCCTTCCACCGCCGACCGCTGCTGCTCGTCGAGCTCCTCGTACGCCTCCTTGTTGATGTCGAGCTGCTTCTTGATCGCCGCTTTTTGCGCGTCGTACCAGTCGTCCTCGCCAAACTCCTCTTGCGCGTCGCCGCCTTCGCGCCGCGCGTTGGCCTTGTCGTTGAGGAACCCGTCGCGGTCCTCCTCCTCGAATCGCTGCCGAAGCTCCTCCTTGCGGCGCGCATTCTTCTCCCGCTCCGCCTCAATGTCCTCGGGGGTGGGCTGCACCACCGTCTGGGTCTTGCTGCCCTCCTCGGCCTCGAGATCTTCAAACTCGCCGTCGCCTTCGCTGTCCTCGTCAGCGTCCGAGGCGCCGTTCCAGCTTTCCCCTTCGCCGTCGTCACCGCCGCCGCCGCGGCTCATGTCGGCTGCGGTAAACCTGCGGCGCAGAGCCTCCATTTGTTCCTCATCTGCCCACTTGGTCGCCAGATCTTGATAGTGGTAATCGGGAATGTAGCGGTCTTCGACGAGGTCTTCTGTTTCTTGCGAGGTCTTCTTGAAAAAGTCGTCATCATCTTCGTCTTCGATATTCTCCTCTTTTCCTTCATCCTCCTGGCCCATCCATCGCTTGAGAGCCTCCTCTGGTGTCATCGATGTATCGTACATGAACCGTGCGAGGTCACCGGTGTGGTAAGAGCGCTTGCGACCGTGCATTTTCAACGCCTTGCCAGTCAAGTCCTCCTTCCATCGTAAAGCAGCAGCCTCTTCGTCTGAATCATAATCTTCTTCGTCTTCCTCTTCATCGTCGAGCCCAGACATGGAGCCCAAGTCAGAGTCGCTATCGGCAAATGCAATATCGTCCTCGCCATTCTCTTTGTCCACATCTTTGCGGAACATGCTGCCTAACCTGCTCTCATCGAACTCGGCCTCGGAGTCTCCGTCTTCACTGCCACTGATGAGCCCCTCATCGTCCATGTCCTCATCGCCATCGCCTTCGCGCTCAGCCATTCTCACTTTGCGCTGAGTTTTGCGACCGGTATTTTCCTCCTCCTGCGGCACATCCTTGATGGTCTCTCCGCCTTGAAAGAGTTGCAGACCCTCGTCTGTTTGGCCGAGAAGTCTTCGCTCACCCTGAAGACCGATGATCATCTCTTCACCCTCACCACGCTCCCCATCATCCTCAGCGTCCTTATCAAATGTAAAGCCCTTTTCTTTGGTGATCCAGATAGCGTCACCGTCAATTTTCAGGCCGCTGCGATCAGACATGGGAGCATGGAGTCTCTTTTCCTTCTCGTCTAGTCGTCTCCGGCCTTTCTTGCCTGTGATCTTGGCTAGAGCTTGCTCCATGGCTGGTGTAGGACAGGGATCTGGCTGGACCTCCATGTTGGCGATGGTAAAGTCGCCGAGACCCGGGATATGTACTCGCTGGTCCTGCGCCGCAAAATTTGTGCCTCGCAGGTAGCCGGACAGAACAATCGATCGGTCGCATTTCGGATCGGCCTCGATCTTGGTAGGATGTGTGATGTCGCGGAAACTGTCGATTATTGAATACGGATGTGCGTTACGCCACACTAGAGGGCGTGGATTTTTCATTACGGACAGAAACCGAGAAAGATTGTGGATTTCGCGATCAGGGTAGCGACCGTTCATGACACCAGACAAGTAGAAGAGATGCGCGCCTTGGTACAGTTCCGTCCAAAGTCGCTTCTTGAGTCTCTTCTTGGCCTCTTTCAGAGCTTGGGGCTTTCGGAAAAGATCCAAATGTGTCAAGACACCAAAGACATTGCCAGGCATACCGGTGGCGGCAAGAATGTTGAGGAATTCCATGGTTTCCATTTCGAATCCGTAGTTGCCGTCGATGAGCAACAAAACAATATCGGCAATCTTGGCAATGTCGACCATTGCCTCGAGCTCGTTCGGACACTCGACAAAGGTAAGGCGCTGCTTTTTCGAAGTAATGACGGTAATCGGGCCCTGGGGGTCGGCAATGGTTTCTTTGGCATATCGGCGGATCAAAGACTTGAGCAAGGTTGTTTTTCCTACGCCGGGAGGACCGACGAGGGCCACGAGTCGCGGAGGTGCCTCATCAGGAAGTCTGTCGACCAGAGGAACGTGGTATCTTCTTTCTTTGATCTATTATGGTAGAAGGGTCAGCAAGTTATGCGCCACGGGGGCAGGCCCGGTTCTGCGACATACATCAGAGGACCGAGCAGCCGTTCGCTGGAGCTTTCCAGGCCGCGCAAAGGCAAAAGCCTTGGGATTGCGCTCTCCGGAGCTCTGCTGCTTCTTCTCCTTGGATTTGCGGTGCGGCTTGTGCAGCTGCTCCATGGTTGCGGCGTTCTATCGTCGTCGAAAGCAGGAAAACTGAATTGGCCGGCGGCTCTACCATAAAAATTTCTGGAGGGCGGCTTATCGATAAAGAAACCGGCGCCCCGCTGAAGTCGCGGCACGCAAAGCACTTGCCACCAGTGCCACCCTGCCGCGCTTCTTACAGGCTACAGCCGGACCATAAGCGTTTTGGTCAAGCTGCTTGAAACTTTGTAATTAGATAGAAACGTATCGCACCTCCCTCCCAGGTACCACTTCTTCTCAGGCCAGTGTGCACCACAAATACGATTCGACCCAGATCCGCCAGACGAAGAAGTCTGGCCGCGCTGTGGCTGTCGTGACTGGTTTGAAAGCCAGCCCTCGATCGCTCGATTGCAAGTGGGCCATTCACTAGTGGTCAACAGCGTCATCTTTTCGTAGTAAAAATGCGGATTAACGCCTTCATTGATGTGAATTAGGCCTGATATAGGTTTATATCATCCAGGCGGTACACACATATCTGTTTGATTGCAGGCAACTTTTATTTGGATGTTGAAGTTTAGCGAAGCATAACCACTACGCGCTAATAAGGGCTGAAAGCCCAGGCACCTCTGCTTACCGATGTAACTCGGCAGAACAAGCAGTGCGGTGGTGCATCAACCAAAAGTTGGTCACCAGCGCTTAATTCGTTAATCCAAGCGCTGAACCTAGTAAGAAACAAGGACGTTTGTTCTCTCATCACCACGCCATTTCCCTTTGCTGTACACCTTGTCTACATTCCGCGACCATGAATAGCCCGACTACCGACAGAAACTCCGGTTTCGAGAGGCTCTTTGCGTCCAACGAAGGCCAGAATGAGCTCTGCCGACAGTTAGAAAGAGCCAAGGCTGCACGACAAGAGGCAACCCCCGAGCCGTCCTCACCTGACGACTACGCTTCTACTGCGGAGGATTTCAAATGGCAATGCGACATTTTGTATAAAGAACTCGCAGGGGAGGATATTGAAAGCATACGACTCGCAGTCACACAACCGGATTATTGGGCAACCGAATGCCGACAGTACGCGGATGTGTTGCAACAGTTGCTCCTGCAAACGCCGAACGAAGGAGAAAACAAGAAGACCCCAACTGCTCAACAATGGCGAACGGCAGCATCAGGCTACAAGCACATCATAAAACTTCATGGAATGTCCGTTGACGAAGCCGATCGTATACGACATTCGATCGACGATCAAAAATATTGGGCAGAGGAAGTTGAAGTTCTCCAACAACGCGTCGCATTCCTAGAGCATCAGCTCTATGAAGACTATTGGGAAAAAAAATTAGACATCCAGCGAGAACGGAAAGAACGGGTAAAGCGCTGTCTACAGTCCCTTGGAGGTGTATCACCGCCGCGACCAATGCACCCCTCCCCAAACAAAGCTCTGCGGCCGGATGGCAGTATTGCTACCAGGACAAGATCAAAGACAAGGAATGACAGGAAGCTTAAAAGTTGACGCGCAAGAAATAGTGAGGCTGGTCCTACGGCTACTAGCACGAGTCCAAAGAGAAAGAAATCTTCGCCAAGTAGGAGGAGGGTTGTGATTAATTAGCATTCAACAAATTTTTGGAACCCCGATTTTTGCAACGTACGATTTTAGTATTGTCAATAGCCTATACATTATTAGGAATACCTATATCAGGTCCCCAGAAGGTCCGTTTTGGTATGAATGGCGCTGTTTATGTTGTTCATGAAAATGGTATGCAGGGAAAGGGTGCACATGCCTCGGTTATCAAAGTCAAGAACGTAGGAACCAGGGAGATCTTTGGAGCACAGGAGCCGTACTTTAAGATTAGCGACAACGCAGATACCGCACAGCAACGGTTTAACTCAAGATGCACATTTTGGTTTATACTTTGGGCTGCTTGCTAATCTTTCAATGTGAATCAGCGACGAGGCATCCATCCACAAAGCTTACAGGACCTTTTGGGTGGCCAGCAACAAGGCCGGCGGCCCTCTCTTGATCATCTCTGCCTAGACGTAGCCAGTCAAAATACCTTGAAGTGCAGTTGCGAGTGACATTGATTCGCTTTGCAGGCGTTCCTCAGTGACGACGAATGACTCTGGTAAGAAATCGCCAACGTCGTGTCCCAGAATCATTTTGGCCACAGCCTCTCCGCTCGACCAGCACAAAGGCATGCCGTAGCCATTAAAACCAGCCGCGATCCACTCACCGCCGTCTTCTCCACGACTTGTCGCGCTGGCCGGCAGTTTCCCAATCAGCGGAAGTCGGTCTCCGGTGAAGCCCATGATTCCGGACCAAACCTTGCGTACTTTGTGCTCGCTGGTGTCTTCCCACCCCTTGACGAAGCACTTGGGGAGTTTGGTGGTAATGTTTTCCTCACACGGTGCGCCCACGACTGAGTCGTCGCTAACAAAAATCTCGTTGATCTTGGCCTTTTCGCCGCCGATAAACACATCGCCAGAGTTTGGGTTCTGGTTGGAGTAGTACAGACCAAAATCCATCATATTGTTGGCTGGGTCAAACCCGCCGCCGCCGACTCTGCTCCAAGTGATTGCACGCCCCTGGTTGCCAAATGTTGAGGGTGGCTTTTGTGTCGACATGGTGCCGCGGAGCGGGTAGATCTTTCCACGAAGACCAGGCAAGAGATGCCCGGAGTAACCATTCGTGGCATGGAGAATCTTGGATGCACGGACGACACCGCGAGGTGTGGTCAGGATATACGGATGCGTGGCGTTGCTGGGGTCATACGCAATTTCCGTGACTGGTGTGCTGGTCTCAATTGACAACCGTGAGGCATACTGCTCTTTCAGTTGGGCCCAGAGTCTGGTGATCAATCGATACGGCCAAAATGCACCATTTGGAAAGAGAATTGCTCCCGAGTTCGCCTTGACGTTGTATTTCTGAGCCGACCCCGTCAGTAATTATGCAGATATAAACAAGCAAGACCATTCGTCAAACTTACTTCCGCAAGTTCCTCGACAGTTAAGATTTGGGTCTTTCCCGCCTCTTCTGTCACATGCTTTTCATACAGCATATGTCCTTCTTTCTCATCGTTGAAGGACTGGTCGTCATCAAAGGCAATGACGTCCAAAGTCCTACGTACGACACTGGCCTCTTTGAGCTCGTCAGACGAGTTCGCCAGCGAATGCATCTTTTCGAGCGTTCTGTTTGCGAATCGCGCAATTTTCACAGCCTGTTCTTGACCAAAATGATCAACAATAAGTTTGAAGTGGCCAGGTACAAAGTTTGTGAGAAGGCCTCCATTCCGACCAGTCGCACCGCTCGTCAGCTTTCGTGCCTCAAAGACGGTGACTGAAGATGTAGCAGAAGGCGTATTGTCGAGCAGCGTCTTAGCCATGCTACATCCTGTGACGCCGGAGCCAATGATGGCGTAGTCAGTCATCGAGGATAGGGTAGCAGACTGCGTCTCGGACATGGACGGGTGTGGAGGGAGCTGCCAGAACGCTGTCGTGGGGTTGGCACGAGGAAGCTGAGGATCGGCCACCGCCTGAGCATACAATTCCTCCATGAGGTTGGCAGATATTGGGTTTGTCATTTTCGAAAATGACTGGTGCCACAATGGCTGGTGCTGTGAGCGGCGTGATGTTAATGACAGAAAATGTGGCTGACGAGGGATAGATGCCTGCAACAAACAAAGGGCCTGATTAGTTGGCTAAACTTTTTGTTCGTCTGGCTCCTTTGCGCCACCTTAAATAGGTCGATGAGTTCGGCCAAAAGGAACAATATGACACTTCGGCAGCCGTGGAGCCCGTAGGTGGAAGTAATGCCTGGTGAGCAGTACTCTTGAAGTGTGGCGTATTCTTCGTCAGTAGCTAGCGTCTCTTCTTCTTGATGTGTGTAGGTTCACTACCGGCGAGATCTTCGAGCTGCCATTGGTTGAGCCTCGCCTCACACAATCATCAGAGACATGATAACCACCAGAACGTGGCACTGGGGAACCTCCACAAGGTACCACCTTTGTGCCGCCTTGACTAACCCTTTATCTGGATGCCGACACTCCGAGTGGTTGATAAAAACGCCAGCTGACCGGCACGTTTGCAGTGCTGCGATTGGTTGCTACATTAGTGCCGCTCTGGCTCATCTCTGCGACCGATAGGGTCAAGTTTGCGGGGAAATTATCGAGGCATGTATCCAAGTGGAGGCGCCGATAAACGGTCCTTGCATGGAACTAGTCCGTGAGGCGCGGAGGAAGAATCATCGCCAGGGTTCTCCGCATACGGCGTTAGATAGTCTATTTGCAGTTGAGCAAGGTGGAGTTGATAGGTTGCGATTGCGATCCAACCCATCTCCGCTCTTCTTTACTTATAATCAGGCATCCCGTTGCTATCACGGGTCCAGCTCTCGACATGCAGGTGCTCACTTCTGCTCGGTTGACGCTCTGATTCTGCTCTTCATTCCGCAGTGGTGTCGATATATTCCATCTTTCTCAAGACAGCGCAGCAATCTGCGAAAGAAGTGGCTCACATAAACATGACTCGGCCGACCGAGAACCGGGAAGACCCGTCACTATGGCCGCCTGGAACGCTGGCTCTGGAAGACTGTAAGTCGCTAGACTCGCGTCGTTGTTACGCCGCGATAGTTGCTCTCGTTTTGCGAAATTCAAGTGACAGCTGATCCATCCCACAGTGCAATCCGCCTCCAAAAACGTCATTCTACACCCAACTCCGTCCTCGGATCCAAATGATCCACTGAATTGGACACCTTGGCGAAAAACCGTCAACTTTACCCTAGTCTGTTTCTATGTCTTCTTGACCTTCGTCCAGCTGGATGTTGGCTTCACCTCGTGGGATCAGTACCAAGCTGAGCTCGGCTTCTCTGTCGATTTCCTCAATGCAGCCGCCGCCAGCAACTATGCTGGCCTCGCCGTGGGCTGCGTGTTCCTGGTTCCCTTGGTGCACAAATATGGCCGCCGTCCCATGTACATCTTCAGCACTGTACTGCAGTTGCTGTCCTGCGTGTGGCTTGGCGCGACACGCACGCGTGGCGACATGATTGGCAGCAACCTCCTCTCTGGCATCAGTGGTGCCATCAGCGAGACCATTGTGCAAATCACCATTGCAGATCTGTTTTTCGTTCATAATCACGGAGCCATGAATGGTTGGTACCTGTTTGCCACCTTCACGGGTGCCTATCTTGGGCCCGTGGCGTCCGGGTATATTGTGAACAGCCAAGGTTGGCGTTGGGTCTGGTGGTGGTGTGTAATATTGTTTGCTGTGAACCTGGTCTTGATCATCTTCTTTTTCGACGAGTCCAAGTACATCAGCATCATTCAAGGCCAACCCGATACTCGCTCCACTCCAGCTACAGGTGGCAACAAGCCAGGAAACGTTCAGGTCGTCGGCGACCAACTTGGTAAAACCGAGTCTGGCTTAAAAACAATAGACTCCACAGCCAAGCAGATGGAGCCTGTCAATGTGCACATCGACCCAAACATCCCCCTCAAGACTCGCTGTCAGCGTCTTGCATTGGTCACAAAGACTGACGGATCAATTGCCAAGGACTTCTACCATCCACTGGTGCTCCTTTTTAGCTTTCCCGCCATTGGTTTCATCGCTTTAACATATGGTAGCCTACTGGCCTGGTTCGCCGTCACGACGTCTGTACAGGCGACATATTTGTTCGGCCCACCGTACAACTTCACTGCCGCAGGCGTGGGTTTGATGAACCTTGCCCCGTTCATCGGTACCATTCCCGCCATTTGGATTGGTGGGTACTTGAACGACAAGTCAATCGTGTGGCTCGCGAGGCGAAATGGAGGGGTATATGAGCCGGAAATGCGTCTATGGATGTCACTACCTATAGCTTTTGTGACACCCGCTGGCATTCTCATGTTCGGGCTGGGGCTTTACTATGTAAGTCTAGCGCCATCAATGTTGGCCGCATTTCATGAGAGAAGCTGGACTAACCCTTGTCTATGCGTAGCAAGCACCTTGGCCGCTATTGGCCGTTGGTTTCGGCGTTTTCGGCTTCGGTCTTGTGGTCGCTGGTGACATTGGGCTCTCCTACGCAATGGATTGCTACCATGATGTGAGTTTCCCATTCAACCTAGCCAGGCATATTCGCTAGAACTCATGAACCATCAGGTTATTGGAAATGCTTTGGTCGGTGTCGTATTCACGCGGAACGCCATGTCGGTGGTTGTTCTCTTCGCTCTCACACCGTGGATCGACGCTATGGGATTGCGCAATCTCCATATCATGATATCTCTGCTCTGTTGTCTCCTTCTGTTGATGCCCGTGGCGCTGCTTAAATGGGGAAAGAAGGCTAGAATCGCAACGGCGGCGCGGTACAGAGAGATGGCCCACCGACAGCCAACGCATCGTAATAGTTGACATTATTTATTATGCTTTATATTATTCGCAATGTTAGTCAACCGATACATGAGGCAACATCGGTCCAGTAAATGTCTCTCCGGTCCGTCTGGTCTCTGGCAGACCAAAACGCAAGTAGAGATGCCTGTTGTTCTGTGCGGCAGTACTGAGAAAAGTTGATGAGGCGCTGTGATTTTCGCAATGCATCGCGCCTCTCAGTATGGTCTTTCAGTTCAAAGCATGCGACCAAGTGAGGTCGGTCGGCAAATGGCACCGCACGACCTGTGAGCTCCATGATTCTATCAAGCTCCTCCAAGATGCAATGGGCCATTTCGAGTGGAATTTCGTCTTTGGTTGCGTACGGATGGCGCAGTCGATGTAAGATGATCAATGCTGAAAGCTGTAGGAACTTGTATTGTGTCATCATTATCATGACCTCGTGTGGTGTAAAGTTTTCGCTCAAGTACGTCATTGACACAGTCGGGCTGCATTCCTCCAAGGTCGCTTGAAGGCTACACCTTCTTTTCTCGAGAATGACATCTGAGCATGCGTGTCCTTGAAGCCGCATCTGTTGAAACTGCTGAGCCAGCTGACAAATGTCGTAAAAGTATGTGAAGATGGGCGCAGAAATGCCACTAAAACGGTCCACCAGCTGGTCAAGCATGCCTGATCTGATCCTGATAGTTGGCAGTTGGCAGCTGACAAGGCAATCCTCAATCTCTGTCCCGAGCAGGCACAGAAGAAATGCCATGCCATCACCACCCAGACGCTCGAGTAGTGTGTAGTCTTTTTCGTACATGGAGCTCACCAACCCCAGGATATACTTGCATACGGGTAAGCAGCTCGAATGATGCAGCGTAAAGGTCGAGATAGCCACGCCCAATATCAGCATCATGGACAGATCGTTTTCTGAGCGGATGCTTGAGATGCGAAGTGATGCAATCGCAGCAGCAGCTCTTCTATAGCCAATACTTTGACCTTGAGCAACTTGCTGAAGGCTCACATTTCCGCTCAGGTGAGACGCACATGCAATGAAAGCGTCCTTGACGTGCGGCATCTCGGCTTGGAGATGATCGACAAATGACTGGAGGTGTCGGTCACGGAAACTAGGGCCAATAAGGTACTTGTCGACACTGATTCCTTTGTGTAGCATGATATCCAGGAAGTGTAATTCCAGCTGGTTTAATTCAGGGAATAGCGACATCCTTGGTGGTATCATCCGATTTCGGTCATGCAGGTGGTGTCTCCGCGAAAGTTGAAGAGGGGATGACTCGTTGACAACAGAAGCAGAAGCTGTCGCGGAGATTTGTGGTGTTGCCTCTCGAATGTCCTTTTTAGGCGTGATCAAAGGTGACGAAGTCCTAGCATTAGTCCGTCGCAATGCCATTCGGTTGCCCGCAGGAGAGGCTCTCTTCCTACCAACTTTGGCGACAGGGCGATTGGAATCACAGAGCTGACCCAAGCGCGAGCACCTTTCGCATGATTCAACTCCAGTCTTCTCCGCAGGCCAACGACATCGTTCTTTGATCGCATGGCAGCGATCGCACGGCCGCCTTCGGTGAGGCGGACCCGAGGGAATGTGCGAGGGGGATGTCAGTGGGTGAGACAACGAGTTAACCATGCTTTAGACGACAGTTGTCCATTCCCACGCATTCGTAGTCATAGTGATGCAGCGTAGACGCAGAGGGAGGCTGAGAGCGTTGCCGTGGGTGATGATGATAAGAGTAGGTTTGCGTGGGGAGGGCGGAATAGTCTGTAATCTATGTAGGTACAGTTGGGACAAGATAAGCACGGTATGGGGCTAGTAGCTAGCTAGAATACCCCGCGACACAGGCTGCTGTTTAGTGACGCCACAGTACATTAAAGCCGCCAGGGCAAAATGACGAGAGATAATTTAGATGCGTAAAGGAATACATATATTTTAGGCCCTTGTAAGTTTAACATTAAGTAAATGAGGGTGATTTCTCTTTTAAGAATATCCGTAAGAAAAATAGGAAATAGACTCAGTTCCTTCTATGTTTGCTCTTCCGTTGCAGGTGCACAGTGACAACCTGGGAATTGTTTTCTTCTTTTTTTGAAAATTCAAAGGATCGGAATTATTCATTTTCTCAATGGCATGCACTTATAAGCACGTTGCTGAATGTGAGAAATACTGTATTTCAGTAGAGCTAATAAGGAATGTCCCTGTGTTGAAGCGCGACATTTTGCTAAACAAGGATTGTTGAAATCCAGCATGTAAAAGAAAACTGCAATCTAAACCAGGACGAGTCAAGCGCAGAGAAATATACTGCCATAGAAACTCTACGCCTTTTCACCCGTCTTCTCCCCTACCATGTCGACGTACACCAACACCTTGAGTCTGCGCAGATACATGGTCTCGATGCTTTGCCTGCGGCGGGCCTCGCCCAAGTTGTGTCCGGTTACGAGAATCAGCATGATGAAGCTCTCTATGAGGCTCGGAGGCACGTTGCACAGCAGCTGTCCTGTCACGGTCCATCGCATGGCACTCGCGCCGATAACCAGTCCGACGATGAAGACAACATCCGCCATGACAACGTACTCGTGTGAGAAGAAGGCACCCATGCGGTCCGACAGGCGTGAGCTCAGTGACGAGTTCACTTTGGCTGCCTGCGAGCCAGGATCGGCAATGACAGCCTCCTCAATCACAGCCATGTCAGAGTAGATGACCTCCTCGAAAGCATCGTCTTCGTAGCGGGCTAGCTCATGCTGGAGGTTGCGCAGCACGAAGCCGTCATGAAGGCCGATGAGGCCGGCATATGTGCCGATGAGAAGCCACCAGTTGGCGCTGAAGCCCATGGCCGGTCCAATGGCCACCCAGGCGAAAATGACAGCGATCAAGATGGCGACACCGGTCAGCGTACCCACAAAGTCGGCATAATAGAAGATTGCGCGCTGCAGACGACTCATTTTGGGGGCAGGAACCTCGACACTTTCGTTGGGCGTACCGTCACCAGTAATCTGGCGCAGTCGCAGCTCCACGGACGAGTCGGCTTCAAAGAGCAGATTCAGCCAGCGGTTGGTGAAGAGGGCATGACGCTCGCGAATGTTGGCCAGGAACGCAAAGATGAGAACCATGAGTGCAGACGTCGCCGAGTTGATGTACAGCTGCCAGCGGTCGCTCCAGCCACAGTAGTGACCAAAGGCGAGCCAGATGAATATGCCCACCCAGTACAGGCAAAGGGTCACAAAGTGTCCCATAATGTCCGAAGCGCGGGTCGACAGCCGTCCCAGCCAACTCTCCGGCGGCAAGCCCACCTTGACCAGCTTTTGCTGGAACCTCTGCTCCAGCTCGGCGGCACAACCACGATCGTCTCGCGCCAGACCATGTCCCCTGGCTCGGACGTTGCGGAGCATGCGCTGTTGGCTGGCGCCGCGGGACCGCAAGCTCGCCGTCAGCCGAATCATCTTGTCGTAGCTGTTGAGCTGCTGACGCACAAGTAGCGAGTCAAAGAGGTAGCAGAGAACGGCCTGAATGTCGGATATGACGACTGCCCAAGAGTCGGCCTCGCCGTACTTGATACCCGCAAGGGCCCAAGCCAGTAGGCCGGCCATGATGAGCAAGAAGACGGGCTCGGAGCCGGATGCGCAAACGACCCAGTCTAGCCATCGATCGAGACGCCCGTCTTTTTTCTTGTCCACATAGCCGGTGATGTTTTCCAAGGAGTCGTTGCTTTTAGAGTAGACCTCGCTGAGCTCGGACATGGGCATCTTGTCATTGCCAGAGTTGTGCAGGCGAACGACAGCTTGTGTGGGAGCGACACCTGCGATTGGACCCTTTCTTCCCGGGGCCGCAAGCCAGTCATAAATTTTGCCCATCTTGCCCATCTTGACTGAGAGACCTTGACCCTGGTTCTTCAATTTTTTTTCTTGTATCGCCGATAGTTGAGCTTGGCTATATTTGACTCGGTCGAATGCTTTAGGGTTGGGTACAACGCGACCCGTGTACCGGAGCAGGCTGTAGCAAAGGGACTTGTGTTTCTCATCGATATGGAGCTACAGGAGAGACGTCAAAATCATAGCTCTTCTGAGTCAGTCACTCAAGAACTTGCGCGTTTACTTGCCTCTTATGGTGGCCAGAGTTCTTCCAGAGGTGGGAAGACGGCCGTGCCGATATGTGCACGACGCAGAGAAAGATTAAAGACCGCCAGCGTTGTAGATGAGCAGCTTTTGGCTGCTTCTTGATAACAAGATGGGTGAATAATGTCAAATAAGGGTATTGAAAGATGGGCGTGATGAAGGAAGCTTGGGTAGAGTTGGTATAAGTGACGAGGTACAAACTCTCCCTAACCATCATAGACTGGCCATGCCATATTTATAAAATTCATGGGCCAAATAAAATAATTTCCCAAACTGTGGAAACTTTTGTACTGCAGTCCAGGCTACAAATTTTCTTGGTGCCAGAATTTTCACGGACCTGTCCAGCCCATTTGGCAATGGTATTGCAAAGCACCGTCGGCTCCACGGCATACTTCAAGTACGCCTTTGCCTACCGCCATCTACGCCTTGCCCCGTATTCACATGGGCTGGCGTAACTCGGCCCTGAAAAGGGAATGAGCCATCAGTTGCGTCTGAAAATGGCTCACTAAAGACGTCGTGGCTGTGCCAGACACGATGGGCAAAAAGAGGACCAGTTGGACGAAAACGAGGACCTGTTCTTTGATCCAGCCAATCTACTTTTGCGGATGACCGTAGAGAAATTTTCGGCCAACTAGCTAGCAAGCCACGATATTACCTTTTCATGACCTGACTCTGGATGAATTTGACATACAGACTGGGGCAGACCAAGAGTCTCGGCTCGGAAGGCAGCCGCCAAGTATCCACTTGGTGTTCTCAATGTACGAATATGGAAGCCGTTGACTTGATATTATTAGACAGAATTAAATATGCGACGGGTTATTCATGTGCTGCAAGCCGAAATGCTCGACCTATTCACTGTGCAGTCTCACAGTCGCGTCTGAAGAGTTTTGCCTAGGGCGCTCGGGGTCCTCTTGTCGACACCAGCCAAAAGCTTCAAGGTGTAGTCGCACCGTGTTCAGGCCTATGCTACTAGCGTATATATGGCTCATCGTTACTGTTCTGTCGATACAGAAGCGGCTCTCGGTTGCAATCGAAGTGTTGTCGGATTCGCAGGCTGTGGAAAGAAGTTGTACCGTGAAACCACTCGTCGAATCGGCGAATTGAATAGCAAGATGAAAAAGGAGATGCTTGACGTACCTTGCAGATCAGTCGCTCGACCGTGAACTTGGAATTTTGCTCGTGAAGACGTACTTGGTACCCTACCCGTCATGTCACTCTCAACGGGCCAGTGGAGACAATCTCGTACCGAGAATCTAGTATTTGAGTGTTTAGCTTTGACGGTCTCTGATGGCACTTCTTAAAAGAGTGGCAGGCCGTCACAAGCGCTTTGATAAGCGCACCAGACCGCACTTCGCGAGAAGGCGGTCAAAAGCTCTGAATATCAGCAACGAACCCAATAACGGTGCAGTTGAAGAAGCAAAGGGCATCTATACAAACAAAATAAGTTTAACAAGGCTAATATCTAGCTCCGTACGGAAAATGTACATGCATCAATGGGCACAGCCAGCACAGCTCAGAGAAATAAGAGGAATACTTAGGTATATAAGGTATTAATCAAAAACGCCTTTTGTTACGGCCCGGCGCAGCTGGCGCAGCTGGCGCAGCTGGCAATGTTGGTGCCGGGCCGGCAGAGAGCCCAGCTCAAAGTGAGCATTAATTGATCATAATTGATTGACAAGGCTAGTCATGTAGTTAGTTGTATACAAGGCGAAAGTCTGCAGAATTTTTACCCCAGGTTAATGAATAGGTCAATGAATAGGTACATACCACATATCGCCATATCCCGCAGTTGGAAAGGCGGCGGCGGGTGGATTACTCTTCCTCCCCCGGAGCGGCTGGTCTCATCACCGCTTGGCCTCGGCATCAAGACCAATGTGCGCCGACTCTGACTAGGGATCAGCCGCGACTCGGGCCCTCGGCTTACCGCCTCCCTTCACTTGCATATATAGTTGATGTCAAATTTCCAAACTATTTCCGCAAAACCCCAGCACCCTTACTTTCTTTTTTTTTTTTTTGTTTTTTTGTTTTTTCGGGTCCGAACCTGATTAAAATTCCACCTCGGCAACTCGCCTCATAATTACGATGCCCTCACTCTCTAGCCTCTTTGGCCTCTCCGCCGCGGGCGGCGGCGACCCCCAGTTCATGATTGCCGAGTACCTCATTGCCAACATTCTCATTTCGCACACGCTCTCGTCTACGCGTGGCCTGAAATGGCTGTGGCGCATCGACAACCACGTCTCGCCGCGCACCGACCTCGAAAAGTCTGGCCCGCGCGCCGTCCTCGAGGGCAGACTGCAGCAGAGCCAGCTCGACATGCTGCGGCGCAACGAGTCGGCGCACGCCAACTCGATGGAGCACTTTCCCGTCTTTGCCACGGCGCTGATACTCGCCAAGATGGCGGGCGTTTCGGCGGCAGACATCAACTACGCCGGGCTGACGTATACCCTGGCGCGACTCGCTTTCGTGGGCAATTACATTCTCAGCAGCACACTGATTGGAGCGGCTTTGAGGCCGGTGTTTTGGTGGACGGCGCATGTCGCTTGCTTGAAGCTGATTTGGAGGGCTGGGAAAATATTCAATGGACTGTGAGGGGGGGAAATCTACAGTTTTCTCAAAATTTACTAAATTCTTATTTTTACTTTGACCGAATTAAAGAAAGCTACCACTGGGCATGTGCATGCATAAATTCCTCTGTATTTCATGTAGTCAACTAATTAAAGCTCCCTAGAACTAAACTTATAAGCACCCTTCTACCAAGTCTCACAAAACGGCCGCAAGGCAATCTCTGCCGTCATGTGAGCCAAAGGCTGCTGGTGCAAATGCCAGTAGCTATCCGCAATCTTTTTGTTTAACTCTAATGTTAGCAACTCGAGACATGACCCGGGAGACGGACGACTGAAGCTGCCCGTAATATAAGCAGACTCACCGCATTGGGGTCCAGCTTTGCATGCCACGATGAAAGCGGCTTCATTATCCACGTCAGCGGCATGCGAATTACACCGTCAATAATAGCATGCGCAACATGCACACCCTGCGGCGCAAACTCGTCTGCCAGGGCCAGGACGAGCGCACGCAGCGAGTGCTTGGACACGGCAAAGGGCTGCAGCCACGCGTTGGCCTTGACGGCCGCCGTCGCGCCGGTATATAACAGCGTAGGTACAACTGCACCCCCGGTTGCGTTGAGCAGGAGCGGAAGTGTTGCTTTGGCGAAATTATAGGCACCGTTTCTGTTTTACCCTTTTTGTCAGCCAATTTTTTTTTTTTTTTGAGATACTCGGGTTCTGCGCACAGTGTTATGTTGAGGGCGTGGTCCACGTCGGCCTGCGTCTGCCACAAAAACGGCTTCGGAAACGGGCGGCTGCTCGCGTTGAAGATGGCTGCGGCGCAGGTGGTTCCGAATCGCTGCGTAATCTCGCCAAAGACGCGCGCCATGTCCTCTTCGTCGGCGACGTCGACCTTGTAGCTCACAGCCGTGCCTCCCTCGGCCTCAATCTCGGCGGCCAACTTGCGGGAAAAGTCTGGTGATCGAGCGAGCAGCGCGACGGGATACTGCTTGGCGAAGCGCCGGGCCACGGCGGCGCCAGTTCCAGCGCCTTTTTTTTTTTTTAAACAGGTATGTAGTGAGCACACAAAGAGCTGAACAAAGCGTTGGGGAATAAAGGGCAGGAGAGAAGAGACTTACCAACTCCTGCAACAATGGCATATGGTTTCAAAGTCATTTTCTTTAAAAACAGAATAAATAAATCATGAATTGCTAATGGACAATCAAGGTGTGCTGCACTGTATTAAAAGTCCCCAACCTACTAGTCTATAATGTTTACTGGCAACTCAATGTCCGCCTACTAGTACATCTGCGGGGTGTTCCCCGCTCCGCCCCGGATAGACTCGACAAATCAGGCCCGTCACTGTCTGCTTTCGGCCTTGAAGATCCGAGGTCAGAATGGTTATGATCTTGTCATCAAGCCGCTACAAAATCATTGACAAGCTCCAATCTTCCCATAAGTCTGTGGGGATGATGCCATCTTTAGTGACAGGGTGATTTTTTGCTTGCGACCGCAAATAAGACCTTCCTGCCATTTTCTTTCCTCGACTGCTTTCCTGTATCAACATCACATCGCATCTACTAGTCATTACATCATAAAACTTTTGCTGGGATTCGGGCAAACGCCACTTTTACCGCCATACAATCCCAAAAATCCAATTGTTCACAATGTCGTCGCCGTTTGTGATAGTATTTGCTGCAGGTATGCACATCATCATTCGGAAACTCACACTCACACATCCCCCCAAAACTAAACAGAGACAAATCATCGTCACAGGCCAAGATGAAGTAAACCAACAAATCGCCCGCCAGTTCGCGCCCCATCACCCCATCGCACTCCTCTGCCCGCCAAGCCACAACCTCAAGGCCGCCGTCAGCGCCGCCCACGCCGCCGGAGGCGAAGCCGTCCTCTTTGAGACTGACTTGTCCTCTGTCGAGTCCGTCAAAGCCTCCGTTGCCTCTGCAAGCGCCCAGTTTGGCAAGCAGTGCGCGGCCGCCATCTTCCAGGTCCGCGCCGAGCCCGCCGACGTGCCGTTTCTCGAGCAGCCGACGGCGCAGTTTCGCGCCGCCACGACGACGCAGATTGCAAGCGCCTACGCCTTCTCGCAGGCCGTGATGCCGCTGCTGACCTACGGAGGCGGCAACGCCGAATTTCCCGCGACGCTGGCGTTTGTTGGAAGCGCTGGCGCTTCGAGGAGCGACAAGATTGTGGAAAATGCGCTCGTCGCGCTGAGCCGCAGTCTCGGGAGGGAGTATGGAAAAAAGTATATTCATGTTGCCCACGTCAAATTCAACAAGGGCGCCGTGGTGGGGAGCAAGACGCTGAATACAGGCGCGGACGGGGGCGCGCGTGTCGCTGAGACGCTCTGGCATCTATACACGCAGCCATTTAATTGCTTCGCTAATGAACTCATCATCTAAACTCAAAGATTTGGCAAGTCTTTTAATGAATTATTCAATATCAGCTCGATGTATGATTATGAAGCAGCGCATTCAGAGTGCATAGGACGATTCAACAGTTTGTAGATAGTTAGCAGCCAGCGACAGCTCAGTAGCCCAATACTGGCTCAACCACTGAAGTTTAAGCCAAGCATGTGTTTCCCAAATAAACACTGTGCCCACGTTCGAATTAATGTCAGATTATTGGACTGCGTAAAAAGCTGCCATACATATGACTACCCGAAACATAGGTATATGTACATATATTACAGTGCGCATACTGATAATCAGCGAAACTGTCGGTCCGACAGTGTCAAGTCTATCAAGTCTATACCACAGCGGCGACGGTATTATTGATGAAGCGATCCGCCTCCCTCTTCAGCATCAGTATACAGCTAGCGACCGCGAAAGCTTCTACGCCATCCGCGCACGCCTTGTCGCTATTTTCCCACTCGTGCAGGTCAATCATCAAGCGACCCCCGTTGCCGCCCGAGTACCGTAATGTGCCGGCGGTGCGGAGATCCGCGTTGCGAACGAGCTGGGCGACCCGGGCGCCGTCAGCCCCCTCCATGACCAGAAGCGAATCGGCATTGTCGCACGCCCTCTTCTCCTCGCGGCTGCCGTAGCGCCACTGAAACTTGCCCAGCGCCGTGTCAAACACTTGCGCGCGCGAGGCAAAGGAGCGGCTCTTGACCTCGACCTCCTCGCCGGGGATGGCCGCCTTGTCGTGCAGGGCCGCGTCGACGGTGACTCTGGCGTTGGCTGGCAGAATGTGCATTTTGGGATGTCTGCCAGGGCCGATGCGGTAGATGGTGGAGATGAGAGCGCGGTCTTGATCCGACGCCCGCACCAGCGCGCATGAGTTGGAAGTTTTCTTTGGCCGGATGGATAGGTATTCGGTCTGTCCAGACTCTGCACGGTGGACGGAGATGTTCTCCAGCGTCTTGCCGGTGAGGGCCTGATTCGTGTCGTAGCCGATGGCATGGATGTCCAGGCTGCTGGTGGCGAGGAAGCTGCTGGACGATGCTGTACTTTTTTGAAAGCCGTCAATCTCTTTGTCGTCGCCAGAAGACTCGGAGTTGCAGTCACTCTCTGACTTGCGAATCCTAGCCTTGGATTTTAATGAAGAGAGAAGACCCATTTTGTTGCATTGCTGGTGGTTATTGCTGTTTATCCGACAAGTGTTGTTGGACGAATTGCTGTCTTGGCAGGAATTTCTTGTATTTATTACCAAAGCAATAATGTGAAGCTGTTGAGCTCATCACACCCTATGTTCAACTTTGTATGTGGCCAAGGTTGATGAATTTTAGGCTTGTCAAAGAGAGGCTGATGATTAGTGTATTACAAGGCTGTGCAGGCAGGCTGCTTAGCCACTGTTGGAGTTATTGTTGGCAGGGCGTAAAGGTTAAAGCTGAGCCTAGCTACCTAGGTACTAAAACACGCGACTAGTTTGTCGTGATTGGACCCTTTAGCTCCATCAGCCTCAATTTCTGGGGGAGAATGAAGTCATTACGTTTGTGGTGCAGATGATCAAGTGCATTGGTGCTGATGCTGACCCGCTTTTGGCCACGGCAGTTGAGTGCCTTTGTCGTGATATGACATCTGATTATACTAACGACGGATAGCAGATTCTCTTTTTTTTTCTTTTTTTTTAAAATAAATAAATAAATAAATAAATAAATAAATAAATCAATAAATACAACATTAAATCTGGAAAATCCTACAAATCAAGTGCCTTGAAAGACAGGTAGTTAAAAATACATCTTACATCCGAGCTTTCGTATCGACCTCACGATGTCATGGTGATAATGACCCACACACCTTCCTGCCGTAATCGGCCGAGACACTGACTCTGATTTGTCTTTGTCTCAGCCCAAACGTAATTTTTTTTTTCTTGCGCCACGGCAAATCCCTCCCGCCGCCGGTGCAACCTTTTGTTGCACAACATCGCCATCGACTTTTTCCCCGTCACAAAGAAGAAAAATCCATGGCCGATCCAGAAAGTGGCCGCACGAGGCCTTTCCTCGATGCCACCACCACCGGCGACGACGACAAGGAGGACCCCAAGCTGTCCGACGAAACGACCGCTCGAGGACCGCGGCCGCCCTCGTCGCCCGGTCTGCTCGCGCGCCTCCGTCACCTGGAAGCCCGCATGGACAAGAAGCTCGGCGTCGAGTCCAACGCCATTGAGCGCAAGCGCGCCGAGGACCGCCAGCAGGCGGTGCCCTGGCACGAGCAGCTGTCCATGGCGCTGCTGTGGGCGAGCGGCACCATGAACACGTCGTGCTTTGCGACGGGCTTCCTCGGCCGCGGCTTCGGCCTGGACCTGCGCCAGACGCTCTTGATTACCATTCTGGTGTCGATGCTCGGCGGGGCCGTCGTCGGCGCCGCGGCCACGTTTGGCGCCGCGACGGGCCTGCGCCAGATGAGCGTCTCGCGCTTCTCGTTTGGCTGGTGGCCGAGCAAGGTCATTGCCGTGCTCAACTGCATCCAGCAGCTCGGCTGGGCCGCCGTGTCGTGCATCACGGGCGGGCTGGCGCTGACGGCCGTCTCGGACGGCCGCGTGTCGCTCGTGCTGGGCATCGTCATCCTGGCCGTCGTCGCCTGGTTCATCTCCGTTATCGGCCTCAATGCCATTCTCGTCTACGAGCGCTACGCCTGGATCATCTTCTTTGTCATCTTTCTCATCATCTTTGGCGAGACGGGCCGGTACGCGGATAACACGACACCGGCGACGGCGACGGGCGCCAACTTGGCTGGTGGCGTCCTCAGCCTCATCGCTGTTGTGTACGGCTCCAGCGCGTCCTGGGCCACCGTTGCGAGCGACTACTATGTCCACTATCATGCCGACGTGAGCCGCGTCAAGGTCTTCTTCATGACGGCGTTTGGCATTGCCATTCCCACGTCGATTGGCATGGTAGCGGGCTGCGTCGTCTCCTCGGCCCTCAATGTTCGACCCGACTGGGACGCAGCGTACCAAAGGGGCCTGGGTTACGTGATCCAGGAGTCCTTGTATCCTCGCGGCTTCGCCAAGTTCCTCCTGACCCTTCTTGTGCTGTCCGGCATCAACACCAACGTAATCGGCATTTATAGCGCGGCGCTGTCGTTTCAGCAAATCTCGCGCCCGTTTGCTCTCGTGCCGCGCTTTCTGTGGATGCTCCTGTCGCTGGCCTGCATCCTTGCGCTCGCCCTCGGCGGACGAGAAGAGCTGAACCAGTATCTCCAGTCTTTTCTCTCCCTGCTCGGCTATTGGTGCACGTCATACATTGTCATCATCCTGGAAGAGCACTACATTTTTCGTAAAGCCAGATTTGCCAGCTATGATCTGGACGGGTGGAATACCCCAAGCCGGCTCCCCCACGGAATCGGGGCATCGGTGGCCTTTGGGCTGGGCGTCGTGGCCTGGTGCATGGGCATGAGCCAGACTTGGTTCATCGGCCCCTTGGCCAGGCTCATCGGAGACAACGGTGGCGACGTTGCCAATGAATTCACTTTTGTTGTGACGGCTTTGAGTTATCTCCCGGCGCGTTACCTAGAGCTGAAGTACTTTGGCAAGTAGTTCTTCCTGCGATTCGTATACATGTTTCAAGTGCAACGTGCCACACAATGTTTGTGATGAACTGTGACTTTACAAAGAAGTCTTTAGATGCAGTCACTGTACAAGCCTCACATTGATGCTTCACATTGATGCCCCATATTCTTCAGTGGATAAACGGTTGTTTATTATTATTATCAATGCCGGTTTCCGGTTCCAAGCCAGACTATGGTGGAGTTGTGGAGTTAGCCGAGGCACTATCTCGGCGCCCGTCTTTTCTTCCCCAGGATTCAGCATGCGTCAACTCATTTCAGTTTCTTCATTTACGTAGGCCGACCATCTTGTATTAGCGGCATTGAGTCAGATTCTTGTTTCACAGGAAATTTCACTTTATAATCGCGGCCATGGACAAGATCGACCGAGTTCTTTACAAGTACGCTGCCGAGGGCCATGATACAAAGGACAAGGTCTACGGAGCTTCCTTTGTCGTAACGGACCGCAATGGTGAGGGGCTTCTTGGCACTAATTCATACGTGCTTCATTGGGAGTAAAGCATGACTGACTAGTCTCTCAAGGTGTCGTCTATTCTGGTTCTTCCGGACGCATAAGCGCGGAGACGTCGTCGGCGCCCTTTACAGACAAGTCGTTTAGTTGGGTTGCCTCTCTCACCAAGCTTCTCACAGCGACTGCGCTCCTTCAGCTGGTAGAGGATGGCAAGCTCACGTTGGATCAAGACCTGCGCCCAGTCGTGCCATATCTCGCCGAGGTGCAGATCCTAGTCGACTTTGACGACAACGACAAGCCTGTGATGGAAGAAAACAAGCACCCCATCACGCTGCGGTAGGCAGATGTGCCCTGTAACCCCAAGACAGAATGTCAAACGTACTAATCAGCCAACACAAACATCAGCCAACTTCTCACACACACGGCTGGCTTTAGCTACGAGTTTGCCGACCCCTTGCTCCTCAAGTGGTCGCGCCAACAGAAGCGCCCGGTCTGGCGCATGAGCTGGTCACGCGAGGAAGTGTCGACGCCGCTGCGCTTCGCCCCCGGCGAGTCCTGGGGCTACGGCGTCAACACGGACTGGGCCGGGCTGGTACTCGAGGCTGTGACGGGCCGCACGCTCAACGACTACATGGGCGAGCACATTTTCCGCCCGCTCGGCATGAGCGACTCCGGGTTCCGCCGCGCGCAGCTCCCGCAGACGGCGCGCCGCACCGTCCGGGCAGCCGTGCGCAATCCCAAGACGGGCGAGCTCGGCGACGCCTCGACGTGGGTGATGCCGACGGACCACGAGGTCGACAGCGGCGGCGGCGGCCTGTTCACCACGGCGCACGACTATGCCGCGTTCTTGCGCGGACTGCTTGCCGCAAAGGTGCTAAAGAGCGGGACGGTCCAGGAGATGCTCAGGCCGCAGCTCGACGACGCCAAGGCTGGCTACCTCGAGGTCATTGCTTTTCACCCCTCGGTGCACAACACGTTTGCGCCGGAATTCACCGGCGGTCCGATACCGCTCAATCACGGCCTTGGCGGACTCGTTAACATGGTGGACGTCCCTGGCAAGCGACGAGCGGGCAGCATGGCCTGGAGCGGGATGCACAACTGCCGATGGGTAACTATTGAAGCGCCTGTGCACTATTTGATAACTATTGAAGATTGCTAATACCCTGGCAGTGGATCGATCCCAAAACGGGCATTGCAGCGGTGCTGTTAGTCAATATTCGCCCCAATGGTGACCCAGTGGTGGCAAAGTTGTACGACGAGTTGGAATTGGCAACGTATGAGGCGCTGGCTTCGTCAAAGAGCAAGATGTAGTTCGAAACACGGCATACAAATCAATCATGGCGAACAAGATTGCAACTGCTTTGGGCGAAATGCGTGTAGCTGTTGAGCCGGTCCTACATTCTCCGAGAGGCGGCGGGTGCATGTACGACCGCGACCGGAGAGTATGTGTCTTGACTATCTTGCGAACCGGACCTCATCGACCGAGCCCAATCTCTTCCAACGCTTTCGTTGGGTGTAGATGACCTGCCTTTTTACCACGCTTTTCGTCATGTACATGACCTGCTTTTCATCCACGCTACACCTGCATATCTCCTCGCCGCAGCTTACAGATGAGACATGCCTTGCCTCGTAAAATTCTCCCACATGTTCCTGATCGGATGTTCGATACGAGTCAAAAACCTGATCCGAATGGCAAACTCCAACATCAAAGTAACGAGACAGCCATGGTAATTTTGCCCCATCATTATATCTAGACTTTTGGAATTTTCATCTACCGTCGGACGGCGCCGCCATCCCTCCCCAACCAGGCTGAGACATTGTGAGCTTTTTTGTTAGCGTGGCTGACAGCCACCGAGGGTTGCGCTTTTATGCATCTGGGGGGGGGGGGAGGGGGGGCAACTCTTACGACGAAAAAAAAGCATGTGGCCAGCCAAAACGTCAAGGAAAATATCTCTGCCCCCACGCTATACGTGGGAAGAGTGAACGATAAGAAGAAACGGGCAGGTTACATGGTTTGGCACACCATGACGAGAGATGGTGGCGGCCTGACCACCTTCCTCCTCCCCCCCCCCCACCCCCGGGAAGGCTGATCAGCCACAAGATGAATATATAATATACTTTAAAAATAAACAAAAAACTGGAACGTCGCATGCAGATGCAGAAGGATAGTCCCTTCACGTCATCGCTTTGGGAAGGTACAATCTATTTTCCCTCTTTTCCCCCGCGCGCCCCTTTTTCTCTCCTCCGAGCATACCAAGATGATAAAGAACTGCAAGTGTTTTTTTTATACTGGTTTGATCGGGCAAAGATGGGGTGCGTTGGGTTTGCCACACATTTTTCATGTAGCTCTGCAACGGCTGAAGAGCGCCTCTGCCATTATTGACATTGGCTGAAAAAAAAAAAATAAGAAAAAAAAAAAAAGACGACGA